CCTGTAATCCCAGCATTTTGGGAGGCCAAGGCGGGCAGATCACCTGAGGTCAGGAGTTTGAGACCAGCCTGACCAACATGGAGAAACCCCGTCTCTACTAAAAGTACAAAATTAGCGGGATGTGGTAGCAGCTGCCTGTAATCCCAGCTACTCAGGAGGCTGAGGCAGGAGAATTGCTTGAACCTGGGAGGTGGAGGTTGCAGCGAGCCAAGATCACGCCACTGCACTCCAGCCTGGGCAACAGAGTGAAACTGTTTAAAAAAAAAAACAAAAAAACAAAAAACTTGAGCAGAGAGTATCGAGTTCCCATCCCCACCACTTACAGCCTCCCCCATCATCAACATCCCCCACCAGAGTGGCACGTTTGTTAGGACTGAGGAACCTACTTTGATGCATCATTATCATACATTATATTTTTAACCCTCACAATGGCCCTACAAGATGACCCTGCTCTGACCACCCCGGACTCCACCGCTTTAAGGATGAGGCCACTGTGCTTCTGGGGACCCAGTGACTCCTCCTCGGAGCCAGGATCTGACTCCACACAGGCCTGAGGACTGCACGCCTCGGCCTCCTGCCTGTGCTCACCGTGGCCTGGTGTGCACATGTCCCGTTAGCTCCACCTTACGGATGCAGAAATGCAGGCTTGGAGCTGAGAGACTTGGCCAGGGTCACAGGGCAGAGAGCAGGTTCTCCAACTCAGGGTCCCCAGTCCACCTGCTTTCCTCTCCACCAGATTGGAAGATGGTACCAGGAGAGCCGCAGTGTTCCAGAGCTCCCGAGGGGCTGGGCCGGGCTTTGCTGTATTTGAGAAGACCCTCCGGACCCAAAAGGCTGTGGGCTTGGGGAGCATGAGGAGGTTTCACAGCAAAACTGACACCCCGGGGCTCCTGGAGAAGCTGGAAAATGTGCCAGGGGAAGTCAGGCTCCAAGGGCACCACTCTGGGCTTCCAGCTGTGTGGGCTGGACCAAGAAGGCTCAGAGAAATGATCTCAGGCCTTGAAGTGGGGAGAAGAAACTGTATTATGAAGGCAGAGGAACAGTTCCTGCAAAGTGAGATTTGTGTGTGCAGCTGGGCTGCAATGGACCAGTGGTGGCAGCGGGTGCCCAGGACTCGCCCGCTGCCTGGGGGTGCAGCCCGTACTCCTCACTATAGTCACATCGACTGTGCGTGCTTTCAGGTGGCCGGGGAGAGGACTCCATGGGGGAGGGATGCTTACCTTGTGGGCTTTGGAATATAAGGGTTTTCCCTTTCACCTTCTCCGCTGGTCCTCACCACCTTGGCAAGGCAGGTATTGTGACCCTGTTTTCTCAGGTGAGGACATGGAGGCTGGGAGGGGTCTAGAGACTGGCCGGGCTAGTAGGAGGCCGAGTCATCCGGCCCCAGAGCCAGCAGTGGGCAGCACAGCGGCAGCTGCAACCAAGGAGCTGCCTCGTCATTCCCTGAGGTCCACAGGACAGCCAGCGGGGACCTGGGGCCCCGTCCTGATGCCCTGGGGAGAGGTTCTAGGCCTCTTTGGGGGTCTATGGGCTACTTTTGGACCAGTGGAGCTGGGTAAAGACTATCTCAAACCATGTGCCAGGGGAGGTCAGACTCCAAGAGTGCCACCTTTGGGCTTCTAGCTGTGTGGGCTGGACCAAGAAGGCTCAGAGAAATGAGGGGGTTTGTATTTGATCCTTTTCCTTCCACGACTGGGATTACTACATAAAACACAGGGCATCCAGTTACATTTGAATTTCAGGTAACAATTTTTTTGTTGTTGTTGTTAGTGTAAGTATGTAGCCAATATTGCATGAGAAATATGCTAAAAAGTTATTCAGATAAACTTGCATTTATCTGAAATGCAAGTTCAAATTTAACTGAGTACCCTATATTTTTATTTGCTAAATCTAGAAACCCTCTCCAAGAGGCTCCTTGGCCCACTCCCAGGGAGAGCCCGATCTCCCTGCAGGCAGGAGAGGCCCCCCCTTTCTCAGGCCAGAAAAGATCTTGCAGTAAACTACTCCAGAGGCTGGGGCAGGAGGATCACTTGAGCCCAGGAATTCAAGACCTGCCTGGGCAACAAAGCAAGATCCTGTCTCTGGGGAAAATATCCTACCGTGGCCTCCCTCGGGGCCCCCGTTCCTCCCACCTCAGGGCCAGTCAAGGGAACAGGCCTCTGCTCTAGGCAGAAGTGCCAGCAGCCGCTCTCTGAAAGGCTAGGTTTTGCCTGAGCTGGCTCCCTGTGTCCTGTGGAAAATGCCTGGCCACAGTTTCTGTGGTTCCCGGGCTCCAACCCTGCAGTTCTCAGCCTCATTCAGGAGGGGCCTTGGCAGGGTGGGGCACCCTGTTTCCCTTGCCGGAGCCCCAAGGACTCTGCCGGCCCCCTCGCTTTGGCAGCAGCACTGCCCACCCTGTCTCTGGAGGTTCCTCCCTTCGGTCCACCCAGCCACCCCGAAAGGCCTTTCTCATCTTTGAAGGGTTTTGACTTCCGTGGGGAGGTATGTGTTGGATGAGAAAAGTGGCCGGGGAAGGGGACACAGGTTCAGAAAGCTCTGCGAGTCCTGAACGCTGCTCTGCCTTCTTGGCTCACCCTGGAAGGTGGGCGCTGGCCCCACTCATCCCCTGTTAAAGACGCAGGCCGAGAGCCAGCAGATCCCGGGGCTTGCTGGCCCCTAGTGAGTTGTCAGGGCTTCAGAGGACGCCAGTCATGGCAACCCCAGCTCTGTGGCTGCCACATGGGCCTGGGCTTCCCAGGACTGCCTCCTTCTTGTTCACTTATGTAGATGAAAAAGGAGGTAACAGCACTTCCCCTCCCCACCCTCCTCCCAGAAGTGCCCAGGGTGTAAACGAAATCGCTTGCGTGAAGTCCACTGGAACCCAGGCTCACCAAGTCAATCTTAACCAACACAGGCCCCAGCAGCCGCAGAGCAGACGCTGCGATGACAATGGACGACACAGAAGTGCCCGCTATGATTCCAGCACCAGGCCACGCCACTCTGGAAACTCGAACTCTGAGTGCCGAGACCTCCTGTAGGTCCTTAACCCCAGCCGGCCCCATTCCAGAAGCAGAGACCAGGACTTCCACAGAAACACCTCCCGACCGCACGGTGCTGATCACCACCTCTGTGGAGACATCCGCCGCCACTGGCAACCCCGAGGGACCTGGAATGACCACAGCTGAGACCGTCACAGGCAGTGATCCCAAGGAAGCCGTCTTTGACACCCTTCGCACCGATGATAGCTCTGAAGAGGCAAAGACACGCACAACGGACATATTGACATTGGCTCACACCTCCACAGAAGCTAAGGGCCTGGCCTCAGACAGCAGCGCCTCTTCCGACGGCCCCCATCCAGCCATCACCCCCTCATGGTCCCCGGGATCTGACGTCGCTCTCCTCACTGAAGCCCTGGTGACCGTCACCCACATCGAGGTTATCAATTGCAGCATCACAGAAACAGAAACAACGACTTCCAGCATCCCTGGGGCCTCAGACACAGATCACATCCCCACGGAAGGGATGAAGGCCTCGCCCACCTCCAATCCACCAGCTCTGCCTGACTCCACTGATGCAAAACCACACAGCACCGAGGCCACAGCCTCTGCCGAGACCCTGTCCACAGCCGGCACCACAGAGTCAACCGCACCTGATGCCACGGTTGGGACCCCACTCCCCACCAACAGCGCCACAGAAAGAGAAGTGACAGCACCCAGGGCCACGACCCTCAGTGGAACTCTGGCCACAGTTAGCGGGAGTCCCCTGGAAGAAACCTCAGCCCTCTCTGTGGAGACACCAAGTTACGTCAAAGTCTCAGGAGCAGCTCTCGTCTCCACAGAGGCCGGGTCAACAGTGGGCAAAACAGCTTCCTTTGCTGGGGGCTGTGCTTCCTCCTACAGCCCCTCAAAAGCCACCATCAAGAACTTCACCCCTTCAGAGACACCGACTGCCGACGTCACAACCAAGGGGCCCTTCCCCACCAGCAGGGACCCTCTTCCTTCTGTCCCTCCGACTACAGCCAACAGCAGCCGAGGGATGAACAGCACCTTAGCCAAGACCACAGCCTCAGCGAAGACCCCGATGAAGCCCCCAACAGCCACGCCCACCACTGCTCGGACGAGGCCGACCACAGACGTGAGTGCAGGTAAGTGGCTCCTGCTGGTGATCTTTGGGATTTGGGATGCGGAGTTTCCAGGACGTCTCCGCGCTTGAGGAGTGGAGGGGAAGGAAGGATCTGGAGCCTATTCAGAGCCTGCCCCTGATGTTGCCGCTTCGTGATCTTCTAGTGGTTCTTGGCGAAATCAGGAAAAGGCAGATGGAGGGTTGTGTATGGAAAGAGGTGGAGATGGAAGTCTGGAGAAACGGTTTTCAGTCTCAGCTCTGCCTCTAACAACCCGAGTGACCTTGGGCAAGTCCCTCTCCCTCTCCGGGCCTCAGTTTCCCCACCTGTAGTTGGAGAGGGTTGGGATGGGCACCGAAGTCCTGTCCAGCTCTGACCTTCTATGAAGTTCACTGTTAAGCAGCTCTGGAAGCTTCTATTCCAGCTGTAGCCGCACAGAGGAGCAGCGTGCAGGCATCAGGCCCAAGCTGCTGTTCTCTGACAGGCTGGGACCCCATGAAAGTGGGACACGCTGGATGCATTCCCTGGGATTTATGCCATAGATAGTGACCTAAAATAAATGAATACAGGTACAGGCTGGGAGCGGTGGCTCACGCCTGTAACGCCAGCACTTTGGGAGGCCGAGGAGGGTAAATCACCTGAGGTTAGGAGTTTAAGACCAGCCTGGCCAACATAGTGAAACCCCGTCTCTACTAAAAATTTGAAAATGAACCAGGCGTGGTGGCGCACGCCTGTAATACCAGCTACTCGGGAGGCTGAGGCAGGAGAATCGCTTGAACCCGGGAGGTGGAGGTTGAAGTGAGCCGAGATCACGCCGCTGCACTCCAGCCTGGGTGATGAGAGTGAAACTCCATCTCAAAAACAAACAAACAAACAAATAAATACAGCAAAGTCTTGGGAGTTTAAAGCTACATCTCTGAGGCAACAAACAGGGACTTCTCAGGGGAGAGTTCATTGTCAGAGGCTGCTTGGTCAGTCCAGCTTCTGGCCAGCCTGTAGCCTCCACCTCCACTTGCTGTCACTCTGCCCTTGGGCCTCATCTCTGTGTATCCACAGCTTGCTCCCACCTTTCTGGGGGAGGTGGGAATACAAACATTAATCACAGCCACTCAATAAATAAGGATATTATTGAATATCTTTTGTATTGTAGAAAGGGGTGATATAAACATGTTTCACACCCAGTAAGCGTTGGCCCCCGCTGAACGTTCTCTCTGATGCCAGGCAGTGTGATGCCAGGCAGTGTGATGCCAGGCAGTGCCACCAGCTTCGTGTATGTTATCTCCTCTATTTAACCTTCAAAACAGCCTTAGGAGGTGGGTAACACGACCGCATCTGATAGGGTTAAAGATGGTAGCTAAACTGCCCTGGAAAGAAAAATACCTTTCTTTATTATTGGCTGATTAGCATAAAAAGGTACATCATAAAATGTCTTCCTCCCCGGCTGTACCCCCAGCCAGTTCTCTTCACACGTGTAACCTGTGGGATTGTTTCTTTTCTTTTCTTTTTTTGAGACAGAGTTTTGCTCTTGTTGCCCAGGCTGGAGAACAATGGTGCAATCTTGGCTCACTGCAATCTCTGCCTCCCGGGTTCAAGTGATTCTCCTGCCTCAGCCGCCCGAGTAGCTGGAATTACAGGCGTGTGCCACCATACTGGCTAATTTTTGTATTTTTAGTAGAGATGGGGTTTCACCATGTTGGCCAGGCTGGTCTTGAACTCCTGACCTCAGGTGATCCGCCCGCCTCGGGCTCCCAAAGTGCTGGGATTACAGGGGTGAGCCACCGCGCCCAAGCTTATTGCCTTAGTTTTACTGACCAGTGAATAAAATTGTGTTTATTGTGGTTTGAACACTTACCATGAGATCTGCGCTCTGAGATGCTGCGATACAGTGTTACCCACGGTACGGTACAGCAGGGCAGGTCGCTGGAACTCACTCATCTTGCATAACTGAAATGTCACCCCCTTGGTCAGCTCCTCCCTGCTTCCCTGTCCTTCAGAAAGCTATTCTTTCTTCGTCCTGTTTTGTTTTACCATCACTTGTTTAGCCAGTTCTGCATGGATGGACTCTTAGGTTGTTTCTAGTGTTTCATTAAGACAAACAGCGCTGCAGTAAACAGGACATTTTTTTTTTTTGAGATGGAGTCTCACTCTGTCACCCAGGCTGGAGTGCAGTGGTGTGATCTCGACTCACTGCAACCTCCACCTCCAGGGCTCAGATGATCCTCCCACTTCAGCCTCCTGAGTAGCTGGAATGACAGGCGTGAGCCACCACACCCAGCTCATTTTTGTATTTTTAGTAGAGACAGGGTTTCTACTATGCTGGCCAGGCTGGTCTCGAACTCCTGACCTCAGGTGATCCACCTGCCTCGCCCTCCCAAAGTACTGGGATTACAGGCGTGAGCCACCGCCCCCAGCCCTGATTTTCATCTTACTGTTCTCCATTTGCAGGTGAAAATGTAGGTTTCCTCCTCCTGCGGCTGAGTGTGGCCTCCCCGGAAGACCTCAGTGACCCCAGAGTGGCAGAGAGGCTGATGCAGCAGGTGAGTGGACACTTTCTGGGCCAGGGGAGTAGAGGAAGGCGTGAGGTTTGCAGGGGCTGCCGGGAAGACCCGCGGGACACGGAAGAGCAGCTACCGCACTTGGAAGGGAGTCTCGTTTCTTACAGAGAATTGGGAGCTGCATCGGAGGATCTCTGCCTGGCTTTGCTTCTGCCTGCCTTCTCCGAGTTCTTCGTTTCCTTCTCTGCAGTGTAGACACATGACTGCCCAACCCCCATGACTGCCCAACCCCCAATTTCTTCTGGTCCTTGGAAGCTTGGCCCTGGCCCCTGAGGAGAAGGTCAGTGATATTGATGGGAGGTAGGCAGGACTCTTGGTTGTAAGTGGCAGAAACCCAAGTCAGAGCAGTTTATGAAAAAAAAAAAAAAAAAGGCAAGGTCTGAGAAACCTAGAAGCATCTCCTCAGCTTCAGTATGGCTGGATCCGGCAACTCAAACGTGATCACGGGGATTTTCTCTTTCTCTCCCCATCTTAGCTCTACTCCCTTCATTCTTCAGAGTCTTTCTTTATATGTATGAAAAGGCAGCTTTGTTAGCCATAGATTCACAAGGCACTTCCCTCTCCCCAACTTTTCTTCTCTTCTCTCTCTCTTTTTTTTTCTTGAGATGAAGTCTCGCTCTGTTGCCCAGGCTGGAGTGCAGTGGTGTGACCTCGACTCACTGCAAGCTCCGCCTCCCGGGTTCACGCCATTCTCCTGCCTCAGCCCCCCCGAGTAGCTGGGACTACAGGCGCCGCCACCACGCCTGGCTAATTTTTTTTGTATTTTTTTAGTAGAGACGGGGTTTCACCGTGTTAGCCAAGATGGTCTCGATCTCCTGACCTCGTGATCCGCCCGTCTCGGCCTCCCAAAGTGCTGGGATTACAGGTGTGAGCCACCACGCCTGGGCCCCTCTCCCCTAATTTTCATGTCATCCGGGGAAGGGCAGGTCTCCGTGGCCTGCAAGGGCCATCACGACTGACAACCCAATCAGGATCCCATAGAGGAAGGACGAGCCCCAAGAAAACAGGGAGGCTAGGCAGAAAAACCCCAGAGATGTACACCCTAGATGAGGACCAAGATTGGGAGGCATTTGTACAAGTTGGGAAAATTCTCCTGAAGCCCACTGGACAGAACTTCCGATGGTGAAATCCCGGGGCCTGGGCTCTCGGGGATGCGGATGCTGTGGCCTGTTGGAAGGTTAGGCTGGGTCAGCTCCGTGCAGATTTCACGGGCCTGGTCTCCTGCTGTGCGGTACACAGTAGCAGATGGGGCATGACGGGAAGTATCTAAGCTCTGCTCACAAACGTGACCAGTGAAAACAGGCCCAGTACACAGTCTAACGTGGATTGCCTCTTTGGCAGTGCCCTTGTCAGTACCCGAAGCTTGCATTTAGCACCTCTCACAGTCAATGGGGGCCGTACCACTTAAAAGTGGCTCAGGCTTATTGTCATCCCTTGCAAGGGTAAACCTGGCAGAGATGCTGGCTGGGGGTCTCATGCCAGGTGTAGAGTTCATAGCTGGGCTGGACAGGTGAAGTGATTGCCCTTTGCAGAGGGAAGCAAGATACATCTGTGGAGAATGGGATCCTTTGTTGCAGGCGAAAGAAAACCTCTGTCTGTCATAAGTAAAAGGGGGATTTGTTGGCAGGTCCCAGAGTGCATAGAATCAAAGCAATGCCAGGACAGCAGGCTCGGAACATAGGCAGGAGGACCCCCAGGGGAGTGCGGGGGCTCTGGGGGCCAGACAGTGGGACCACGCTGGCTGGGACACGGTCCCTCTTGCTGGTGAGTCACTACTGGACGCTGCCACAGCCGACGGGCGTCATGCGGCCTGCGCACACGTTCACACGGGTTCTCGCTGCCTTTTTGTCTCGCTGGACTTTTTGCTACAGAGCCAAAGTCCTGAGTAGGAACATTTGATAGGCCGAGCTTAGCCCTTGTGCTCCCGTGAGTCCACAGCCAGGTGCCAGGGGATGGGAAGAAGGGATATCTGCATCCTTGGAGTTCTCTTAGTGGCAGCGAGGCCCATCAAGACTCCCACCGCAAGGAGTTCCCTAAACATAGCACGGAGATTCGACCCCCAATGGCCAAATAAATGACAAATGCCCCTGGCACGTGACAATCAAAGTAGCGAGTGTGAATCCTTGTGGAAGAGGGAAGCCAGTTGTTTATGTTTTGTTTTGTTTTGTTTTGTTTTGTTTTCTGAGACTGTGTCTCGCTCTGTTGCCCAGGCTGGAGTGTAGTGGTGTGATCTCGGCTCACTGCAACCTCCACTTCCCAGGTTCAAGACATTCTCCTGCCTCCGCCTCCCGAGTAGCTGGGATTACAAGCCCGCGCCAGCAAACCGGCTAATTTTTATGTTTAGTAGAGACAGGGTTTCAGGTTTCACCATCTTGGCCAGGCTAGTCTCGAACTCTTGACCTTGTGATCCACTCACCTCAGCCTCCCAAAGTGCTGGGATTACAGGCATGAGTCATTGCGCCTGGCTGGAAAGCCAGTTTTGTTTTTTTCTTTTTCTCTCTCTCTCTTTCTCTTTCTCTTTCTCTTCTTTTTCCTGAGACAGATTCTCACTCTGTTGTTCAGAGTGCAATGGAGTGCAATGGCGCGATCTCGGCTCACTGCAACCTCCGCCTCCCTGGTTCAAGCAATTCTCCTGCCTCAGTCTCCTGAGTACCTGGGACTACAGGCACCCGCCACCACTCCCGGCTGATTTTTGTATTTTTAGTAGAGACGGGGTTTCTCCATGTTGGTCAGGTTGGTCTTGAACTCCTGACATCAAATGACCCACCCGCCTCAGCTTCCCAAAGCACTGGGATTATTGGCGTGAGCCACCGCATCTAGCCAGGAAGCCAGTTTTGAGTCTCAGGTCTGCGCTCCCAAACCGGAAACGATTTCAGGAATCGGAAAGAAATCGGGTGATCAGGAGCAGGTCGGGCAGCTGAGGCGCAGGCACCAGGCCCTGTAGGGTTGGGCGTCAGTTCTCGTCCGGGGACAGCCCACGGTTTGGGCTCAGGAATTAGACAATGAGCGTCGGAACCAGCTAGATCTGGGTGTGAATTCTAGTTCCCAACTGTGTGGTCTTGGATAAGTTATTCTATGCGACTTTGATCCCTTATAAAATGAGGATCATAACACCTGCTTTATAAGGTTTCTGTGAGGTTTAGATGACATAATGTGTGGGAAGCACCAGCCTGTGTCCGGCATGTAAGGGGTCCAGGAAGGGTTGCCGTCCATCACATGCACTCTGCCCCACTGTCCCTTCCTGTCCTCTGCCTATGGCGAGCTCATGGGTCAGAGGGGCTGAAAGGACCACCTGGCTCCCTTGTTCTCCAGCTCCGCCAGGAACTCCACGCCCACGCGCCTCACTTCCAGGTCTCCTTACTGCGCATCAGGAGAGGCTAACAGACATCAGCTGCAGCCAGGCCTGTCCTGTATGCCAAAAGAAGGTGCTGCCCATGGCCTGGGCCCCCACCAACAGACTGCAGATGCATTACTGTGCTGAGAGGTACCAAGAAGTTTCCTGTGAAGGGCAGCCGGTCCAAGCCCCTGACCCCAGATGTGGCAACAGGACCTCGCTCACGGCCACCGGAGCATATATGCGGGGAGGGGCTTCACCTGTTCCCAGAGGTGTCCTTGGACTCACCTTGGCACATGTTCTGTTTCAGTAAAGAGAGACCTGATCAGCCATCTGTGTGCTTCCATCCTGCATTAAAACTCACTCAGCGTGGTCCAGAGGTTGTCTGTTGATCTGTATGCTTTCGCCGTTTTTACGGTAGAGGGATTGTGGATATTCTCACTGCACCTCCTCCTTCCACTCCCCCAGGTCTTGGTTTGCACTTTGATGATAGCATTTACTGAGACGGGCCTGGAGCCTGTTGAACAGGGCGCTGTGGCAGGGCAGGGGCCACCTTTGTTCATCTCAGTATCTCCTGAACTAGCAGAGCGTCTGGCCTGCGGTGGGATCACAGAGAATGTGGAATTGACCTAAATTTAAATTTCAAGTTCTGGACACAAGCCTCAATTATTATTCTTATATGTTATAACTTACATGCTATTATTTTTTAAAAAATTAATATGGTTTACTTTTTATTATAATTAAAACTTGGTCAGGCACACTGGCTCATGCCTGTAATACCAGCACTTTGGGAGGCTGGAGTGGGTGGATCACTTGAGCTCAGGGGTTTGAGACTGGCCTGAACAACATGGCAAAGCCCTGTCTCCACGAAAAATACAAAAGTTAGCTGGGTGTAATTGTGGACACCTGTATTCCCAGGTACTCGTGAGGCTGAGGTGGGAGGATCACTTGAACCCGGGAGACGGAGGTTGCCGTCAGCTGAGATCACACCTCTGTACTGCAACCTGGGTGACAAGGTGAGACCCTGTCTCCAAAAAGTAAATGAATAAAAATAAATAAAATGAAAGTGGCTGGGTGCAGCGGCTTGTGCCTGTAATCCCAGCACTTTGGGAGGCCGAGGCAGGCGGATCACGAGGTCAGGAGTTTGAGACCAACCTGGCCAGCATGGTGAAACTCTGTCTCTACAAAAAACACAGAAATTAGCTGGGTGTCGTGGCAGGGGCCTGTAATCCTAGCTACTCGGGAGGCTGAGGCAGGAGAATTGCTTGAACCTGAGAAGCAGAGGTTGCAGTGACCCAGGATCCCGCCGCTGCACTCCAGCCTGGGTGAAAGGGCAAGACTCTGTCTCATAAATAAATAAATAGATAAATAAATAAATTTAAAATAAAAGTAAAACTTGTTTATGATTTCAAAATTTTGAAAAATTCCAAAGACCAAGCAAAGTAAGAAGTGGGAAGAGGAGAAAGAAAACATGTCCTATAATCCCACCTCTTAGATACAACGATTTATTTTTTAAAATAGAGACAGGGTCTCACTCTCACCCAAACTGCAGTGCAGTGGTGCGACCATGGCACACTGCAGCCTTAACCTCCCAGGCTCCAGTGATCCTCCCATCTTAGCCTCCTGAGGAGCTGGGACCACAGATGTGCCACCACACCTGGCTAATTTTTGTACTTTTTTTGTAAAGAAGGGGCTTTACCATGTTGACCAGGTTGGTCTCGATCTCCTGAGCTCAAGCAATCCTCCTGTCTCAGACTCACAAAGTGCTGGGATTACAGGCATGAGCCCCTGTGCCCAGCCTTATATACAGATACAGCTATTATTATTAGTGTTTTTCTAAAATCGAAGTTCTGATCTCTTCCTCTGGACCTGCCCCACCTGCATCTTCCCCATCTCAGTTAATGTCAATTGCATCCTTCAGTTGCTCAAGCCGAAATCCTCGGCACTGTTCTTTATTCCTCTCTCTCACATGTTGCACCAGGAAATTCTGCTGGCTCTACTGCCATCAAACTGTGCCCAGAATCTGGCCCCTCCTCAGCATCTCCAGTGCTACCACCAAGATGGTCCACGATGCCGTCATCTCTCACCTGCACTACTACGGGTCTTCCTGTTTCCAGCTCTGCCCCCACCCCAGTCTAGTCCCAATATGTCAGCCAGGGCTGTCTTTTTACAACATAAGGCAGACCACACCACTTCCTTGCTCCAATCCTCCCATTTCACTTAGAAGAAAAGCAGAGTTCTGACAACGGCTACAAAGCCATACAGAACCTGCGCCCCTCCCCTGCCTCCTTAATTTGCACCACAGCCACACTGACGTCTTTCTTGTCCCTTGAATGCACTGGGCCTGCTCTTGCCTTGGGACCTTTCTGTGCATTGCTCAGTCTGCTCCTCCTCTGCATATCCACTTGGCTAACCCTCTACCTCCACCTTCACGTCCCTTCTCAGCAAGGTCTGCCATGACCATGCTGCTTAAAAATTCAGTCTCCCCTTCTGTACTTTGATGTACTTTACAGTGCTGATCACAGTTGAACATCATATGTATTTTATTTGTTTTCTTTATTATCTGTGTCCCCCAACTAGAATGAAAGGTTTTGCCCTTTACGGTTTCCCTAGTGCCAAGAACAGTACCTGGCACATGCCAGGGGCTCAGAAAACATTCGTTAGATGAATGAAGGAAACAAGGAGACAACGTTGACATTGCTGTGAGCAAGGGGAGTGTGAGCGTTTGACGGATCCCTTCCATTTCTGGAGTGGGGCAGAATGAGTTTCATAAAGTAGCTTGGACAAAAATAATTCGCTCATCTTGGCAAATATGTTGAGCACCTGCCTCAGAAGATAGACTGAGCTACGTGCCGTGGAGGATTCAAACCTGTCTCTTCTCCCAGGGATCGAAGTTAGACATGTACAGAAATAATAAATTGAAAGAACTTATTTATACCGCATATAGCAACAACAGGATGCACTTAAATATAGAGAACTCTTACAGAGCAAGAAAAAAAAAAAAAAAGGCGAACACACCAGTAGAAAAATGGATAAAGGGCAACAGGTAGTTCACAAAAAAAGAAATACAAATGTCCTCTCCTCCCACCACCACCCCCGCAATGAAAAAGAACGTGTGATTTCACTAACAAAAACAGGTCCATTAATACAGTGAGAAATTGCTTGTTGCATGTCTGTACTGATCCGTACTGGGTGCTGGGCAAACGGGCGTTCTCAAACACTCCTAGGAGGAAAGAAATTGGTACAGCCTTTCTGGAGGACAATTTAACTGATTTATTTAAAGCCTGAAAAATGTACACACTTTAACTCAGCAGTTTCGTGACTGATTTATCTTAAGGAAGTAATTAAGAATCCCTGCCTAATTTTTATAACAACTAATAGATGAAAAAGACAAAATGAAACACAAATAACCTAAAATCTCCCTATGTAACAGTTTGCTTACACATTATAGTGTTATTTTTTGCGAGCTACAGAAGCGTTGTTGAAACATGTATTAAGATGGAAAAAAGTTCATGAAATATTATTTTATCTTCTCTTATTTTCTAAAAGTGGAACTAAAAAAAATTTTTTTAACTCCAAGCTACCTTTTATACCATCTCAGAGCCTTCCTCTCCCAAATCAAAGCTACTCCTGTTCCTACCTCCGGGATGAAATCCCCACCTTGGTATGCAAGGGTCTTCATGATACGGCCTCAGCCAACTACCTTAGCTCCAGGTGGCGGCCCCATCTTCCATATCCTGTGCTCCTTGCACAGGGAGCAGCTCGCTAACCCCAGGCACACCTGCTTCCATCTGGAGTGTCTGCACATCATGATTCTTCCCCTGGTCCCTTTGCCTGGAAAACTCCTATTCATTCCTCAAAGCCCAGTTCAGGTGGCACCTCTCTATGACTTCGTCAGATTCCCTACAGAGGTGCTGATTTTCTGGTCTCTTTACTTGTGTTTCTGTTATAACACTTAACATGCTGTACAATAATGTGCTTATTTTATTTACAAGTTTGTTACATTGTAGGTGCTCTAGGACAAGCAGTCAGTAGTATTCACCTCTGTCATCACAGAAGCTAGCATGGAGCCCTCCACCTGAGGGCACTGATGTGTTTGCAGAGTGACTGGGACAATGGTGGGTCACATAAGCAGATGGCCCTGAAACTTTCAGTGGGCTCTGAAAATTAAGAAAATGGCATTCGGTATTGAAGTCACACAAAATGTAAATTTAATGATATAATTGTTCTGAAGCTGCACTATAATTAGGCATGAATGGAGAGCAGTTGACAAAAATGACAACAGCACCACTGTTATATAAACCCAATTCTTAAATAGTTGTTCTTCTCTTGCTTTGTACTTCCTCAAATTGGTGATACCTAATACAGGGGCTCATGTAATATTAATTACTACATATGAGGACACATGTACACACATATATGTACATGACATATATGTACATATAATGTTGATTATTGTTATTTTTGGAAGTAAAAAAATGTAAAATTTGACTAGTTTAAAAAATCTGTAAAATATGGGATACACAAATCAGAGGCTGGGTGCGGTGGCTCACGCCTGTAATCCCGGCACTTTGAGAGGCCAAGGCGGGCAGATCACTTGAGGCCAGAAGTTTGAGACCAACTTAGGCAACATGGTGAAATCCTATCTCTACTAAAAATACACAAATTAGCTGGGTGTGGTGGCATGTGGCTGTAATCCCAACTACTCAGGAAGCTGAGGCAGGAGAATCACTTGAACCCGGGAAGTGGAGGTTGCCGTGAGCAGAGATTGCATCACTGCACTCCAGCCTGGCGACAGAGCGAGCCCCTGTCTCAAAACAACAACAACAAAACAAATTAGAAGCATTTGGGAACTAAAATGTATCATTATGATTGCATGTGGTGGTGGGAGGAACAATAAAGAGGAAGAAAGAGAATGTGTGTGTGTGTGTAAATGTGTGTGTATGTGCGTGTGTGTGTGCGCACACTTCTATTACTGGAGATGACCAAAGTTAGCAGGAGTAATGTTACCAAACCAACAGGAGCCAGAAGTGCCTGGAGAAAACTCTCCAGCTATTTAAGATTCTAAAGGTGTGTGTATATGAGGTAAAAATGTCACATGTTTTATAAAGACAAATTTAAGCGTGGACCTAAACAAGATGGCCTGTCTAAAGTCACCTGTGACTTGGCGTGAGCTCTGAGACGGCACAGAAGTGATGAAGATAGCAATGATGAAGACAATGTGAGGTGGAACTTCTCTGACCAGAGACCTCATCTGAAGCTTCTGCCATAGCCAGTCCTGCCTTCATCCCTTGTGAGGGGAATTGGCCACCAAATTATGCAAAGCATTTGAATGGAAACAAATTCCATGGGTGTGCCCCACACTTTAATGAGTGGACAGCATGTCACTTTCTGGTGCCAATAAATGCGTAAAGGTGTGTATCATGCCAGTTACCTGTTACTCATTATCCTAGTCATTAAGCCACTTACTTCAGGCCTGCAGGGAGTTTCTGGAAGGCTCCTTTGAAGCAGGGAAGAATGGGCAAGGGAGTCTGTGTCTTTAGCCAAGCTTTGCCCCAGAGAGCTCCCTTTGCCACTCCCGAGCCCACTGAAGGTGTCCCGGCTGCCTGCCACCAGCAGGGGACGGGGGTCTGCGCCCTTATTTCTTCCAAGCAAAATCACACCTGGCACCCCGGGGAAGGGTCAGTCAGTTCTTTTATTCCAGGGGCCAAAGCGACAGAATTCAGACCACTCGGAGCCAGGGAATGAGCTGACGAAAATGGATGGTTGTGTTCTTGTCCTTCTAACTGTCCCACTCATGAAGGGGCAGCTAGAGAAGGGTGTCCCCAGGTGCCCTCTCCTTTCTTGGGACGCCTCTTCCTCCCATGCAGTCAGGGCCTCAGTGGCTTTGACTGGGCTCACCAAGAAAACACAGGACGTCCAGTTAAATGAGAACCTCAGATAAACGATGAACACTTAAAAATATACAAGAATGTTCCAAATTAGCTGGGTGTGGTGGCAGCGCCTGTAGTCCCAGCTACTCGGGAGGCTGAGGCAGGAGAATGGCATGAACCTGGGAGGCGGAGCTTGCAGTGAGCTGAGATTGTGCCACTGCACTCCAGCCTGGGCGACAGAGTGAGACTCTGTCTCAAAAAAAAAAAAAAAAAAAAAAAAGAATGTTCCAAATAGTTCATGGGATGTCTTTACACTAAAACAATTATTTGTGGTTAATCCGAAATTTAAGCTGAGCTTCCTACATTTTCATTTGCTAAATCGGACAGCCCTACTTTTATTATTTTTGTTTGTATTTTATTTGAGACCGAGTCTCGCTCTGTCTCCCAGGCTGGAGCACAGTGGTGCCAACTGGGCTCATTGCAACCATCACCTCCTGGGTTCAAGGGAGTCTCCTGTCTCAGCCTCCCGAGTAGCTGGGATTACAGGTGTGTGCCACCAAGCCCAGCTAATTTTTTATATTTTTGGTAGAGACAGGGTTTCACCATGTTGGTCAGGCTGGTCTTGAACTCCTGACCTCTGGTGATCCGCCTGCCTCAGCCTCCCAAAGTGCTGGGATTATAGGCGTGAGCCACCGCACCTGGCCCAGACAGCCCTACTTTTAATGCATCGCCTCCCACCAGGGTCCCCGCCTCCTCTCTTCCCTCCAATCTGCGGGTCTCCTTCAGCGTATCAAGCTCTCAACCTCCCCCCACGCATCAGGCCTCTCCTCTGCCTCGGGAGGAGCTGTCCATCACACACAGACTCTGTCTTCCCGCTCCCTCCATTGCTCAGCGTCGGAAGTGGACGCGGGAGGACGGACCTTGGGTTTGGGGCAGCTCTGCTCCCCACTCACCACTTTGCTTTTGCTCTTTCCGGTTTCCCAACCTCCACAGTTGATGACACGCGGCCCCCACAGCGCTCCCATGTCTTCCATGGCGGGTGAATCCTTTCCCAATCTCCACAATTGATGACACGCAGTCCCCACAGCGCTCCCATGCCTTCCATGGCGGGTGAATCCTTTCCCAATCTCCACAGTTAATGACACCGGCGCCCACAGCGCTCCCACGTCTTCCATGGTGGGTGAATCCTTCACAATCTCCACAGTTAATGACACCGGCGCCCACAGCGCTCCCACGTCTTCCATGGTGGGTGAATCCTTCACAATCTCCACAGTTAATGACACCGGCGCCCACAGCGCTCCCACGCCTTCCATGGCGGGTGAATCCTTCACAATCTCCACAGTTAATGACACGCAGCGCCCACAGCGCTCCCACGCCTTCCATGGCGGGTGAATCCTTCACAATCTCCACAGTTAATGACACGCAGCGCCCACAGCGCTCCCACGTCTTCCATGGCGGGTGAATCCTTCACAATCTCCACAGTTGATGACACGCAGCGCCCACAGCGCTCCCACGTCTTCCATGGCGGGTGAATCCTTCACAATCTCCACAGTTGACGACACGCGGCCCCCACAGCGCTCCCACGTCTTCCATGGCGGGTGAATCCTTCACAATCTCCACAGTTGATGACACCGGCGCCCACAGCGCTCCCACGTCTTCCATGGCGGGTGAATCCTTTGCCAATAGTCCCTGGTGGGTTTCGGGTGAGTCGTAGCTTTTGGGCCTCCTGCTGGCTCCGACTCTGAGTCACATGACGAAGTCCTCACGGAAGTGGGATTCTGGCGGCCAGGTGAGGGCTGTCTCATCAGTTCCTTCGTGCCTGCTGGCCTCCCCCTTCCTCACAACTGACGGACGGTTGACTCCCTAGCCACCCCCTCAGTACAATGTGTGCTTAATTCTTTTAAAAATTTAAATATATTAATTTTAAAATCATCTTTTAAATAATAAAATTTACTTTTTAAAGCAGTTTTAGGTTCACAGCAAAATTTTCCTGAGTGGAAAATACAGAAAGTTCCCATATACCCCCTGCCACACACACATATCCATACGCCCAGCTTCCCCCACCATCAACACCCTGCACGGGGGGCACATGTGTGACAGTCCATGCGTCCACGTCAGCATATCCTCATCAAAGTCCAGAGTTTACAGTTCATTTTTGGCGTTGGACATTCATTCTCTATTCAACAATGTATCGGCTGGTCGGGCGCGGTGGTTCATGCCTGTAATCCCAGCAGTTTGGGAGGCCGAGGCAGGTGGATCTCTTGGGGTCAGGAGTTCAAGACCAGCCTGGCCAACATGGCGAAACCCATCTCTACTAAAAATACAAAAATTAGCTGGGTGTGATGACGCACACCTGTAGTCTCAGCTACTTGGAAGACTGAGGAGCTAGTTGGAAAGCTGAGGCAGGAGAATCGCTTGAGCCTGGGAGGCAGAGGTTGCAGTGAGTCGAGATCATACCACTGCACTCCATCCTGGGCGATAGAGCAAGACTGCATCTCAAAAAATAAAATAAAATAAATGTTTCTGCCATTGTAGCATCATACAGAAAAATAAGTAGTTTCAGTGCCCTAAAAATCCTCTGTGCTTCACTTATTCATCCCTAACGCCTGGCAACCACTGATCTTTTTACTGTCTCCATAATTTTACCGTTTCCAGAATACCATATAATTGCAATCATGAGGTAAGTAGCCTTTTCAGATTCTCCTCTTTCACATAGTATATGCATTTAAGTTTTCTGTATGTATTTTCATAGCTGTATAGTTCATTTCATTTTAGCACTGAATAATATTCCATCGTCTGAATGTACCATAGATTATTTACCCATTCACCTGCTGAAGGGCATCTTGATTGCTTCCAAGTTTTGGCAATTATGAATAAAGCTGCTATAAATTATGAATAAAGCTGCTATAAATCTCCATGTGCAGGTTTTCGTGTGGACAAAAACATTTTCCATCCCTTTGGGTAAATACCAAGGAGTGTGATTGCTGGACTGCATAGTAAGAGTATGGTTTGGTTTGGTAAGAAACTGCCAAATTGCGGGCACCTGTAGTTCCAGCTACTCGGGAGACTGAGGCAGGAGAATCGCGTGAACCCAGGAGGCAGAGCTTGCAGTGAGCCGAGATCACGCCACTGCACTCCAGCCTGGGTGACAGGGTGAAACTCCGTCTCAAGAAAAATAAAAAAATAAACTACCGAATTGTCTTCCAAAGTGGTTGTACCATGTTGCCTTCCCACCAGTAATGAAGGAGAGTTCTTGTTGCTCCACATCCTGAACAGCATTTGAAGTTTTCAATGCTGTGGATTTTGGTCATTCTTTTTTTCTTTTTCTTTTTCTTTTGAGACAGGGTCTCACTGTGTTGCTCAGGCTGGGGTACAGGCTGGATCATGCCTCACTGCAGCCTCAACCTCCTGGGCTCAAGCAATCCTCCCACCTCAGCCTCCAGAGTAGCTGGGACCACAGTCACCTGCTACCATGCTCATATAATTTTTTAATATTTTGTAGAGATGGGATCTTGCTTTGTTGCCCAGACTGGTCTCAAACTCCTGGGCTCAAGTCATCCTCCTGCTTCAGTCTCCCAAAGTGCTGGGAGTACAGGTGTGAGCCACAATGCCTGGCAATTGTGGTCATTCTAACAGGTGTGTATTGGTTGTGCGATGTTTGCAGTTCCCTAAGGACATGATGTTGAACGTCTTTTTAGATGCTTATGTGCCATGTGAATACCTTCTTTGGTGATATGTATGTTCAGTTTTTTTACCCATTTAAAAAATTGGGTTGTTCATTTTCTTATTGTTGAGTTGTAAGAGTTATTTGTATATTTAATTAATTAAATATTATTATTTTTTGAGACAGAATCTCACTCTTTTGCCTAGGCTGACGTGCAGTGGTGCAATCTCAGTTCACTGCAATCTCCGCCTCCCGGGTTCAAGCGATTCTCCTGCCTCGGCCTTCCGAGTAGCTGGGATTACAGGCATGCACCACCACACCCAGCTAATTTTTGTATTTTTAATAGAGACAGGGTTTCCCCATGTTGGCCAGGCTGTTCTCAAATGCCTGACCTCAAGTGATCCGCCTACCTCAGCCTCCCAAAGTGCTGGGATTTCAGGTGTGAGCCAGTGCACCTGGCTCTTTGTGTATTTTTAGATAACAGTCTTTAATCAGATGGGACTTTTGCAAATATTTTCATTCTCTTGCCATTGTCTTTCACAGAGAGGAAGTTTTTAATGTTAATGAAGTTCAGCTCATCAATTATTTCCTTCATGGATCATGCCCTTGGTATTGTATCTAAGAAGTCATCACCATCCCCAAGGTCATTTAGATTTTCTCCTATGTTATTTTCTTGGGTCTTTCAGTTTTTCATTTTCATTTTATTGAGGTTTATGATTCATTCTGAGTTTTTATGAAAGGTATAAGGTCTGTGTCTATATATAAATATATTTATTTTTTTGCATGTGAATGTCCAGTTGTCCCAGTATCATTTGTTGTAAACACTATCTCTGCTCCATTGCATAGCCTCTGCTCCTTTGTCAAAGATCAGTTGACACATTTATACAGGTCGATTAGAAATATTACTTTTAATATTCTGGGCTCTCTATTCTGTCCCATTGATCTATTTGTCTATTCTTTTGCCAGTATCATGCGGTTTTCATGACTATAGCTTTAGAGTAAGCCTTGAAGTCAGGTGATATCAGTCCTCCAACTGTTCCCCCAGGCTGGAGTGCAGTGGTGCGTTCTCAGCTCACTGCAACCTCCGCCTCTCGGGTTCAAGCGATTCTCCTGCCTCAGCCTCCCGAGTAGCTGGGACTACAGGCACTGACCACCATGCCTGGCTAATCTTTGTATTTTTAATAGAAACAGGGTTTCACCATATTGGCCAGGCTGGTCTCGAACTCCTAATCTTGTGATCCGCCCGCCTCAGCCTCCCAAAGTGCTGGGATTATAGGCATGAGCCACTGGGCCCAGCTCAGTTTTTGTAGATATCCTTTATCAAGTTGAGGAAGTTCCTATTTCTAATTTACTGAGAGTTTTTTTCTTTTTTTAAAATAATGAGCAGGGTTGGATTTTGTCAAATGCCTTTCCTACATCCACTGATATGATCCTGTGATTTTTCATCTCTAGCCTGTTGACATAACGGATTGCATTAGCTGATTTTTGAATATTTTTCTTCTCTAGCTTGTTGATGTAACAGATTACATTAGCTGATTTTTGAATATTGAACCAGTCTTGCATACCTGGGATAAATCCCTATTGGTGATGGCCTATAATTCTTTTTACGTATTGTTGAACTCAATTTGCTAATATTTGGTTGGTAATTTTTGCATCTATGTGAGAGATATTGGTCTATAGTCAGTCGTCTTGTAATGGTTTTGTCTGGTTTTGGTATTAGGGTGACACTGACAAATGACTTAGGAAGTATTCCTGCTGCTTCTGTCTTCTAGAAAAGATTGCAGAAAATAGGTATTATTTTCCCTTAAATATTTGGTAAAATTCACCAGCGAAGTCATCTATGCTGTGTGCTTACTTCTTGATAAATGAATGTTGTGACTATGGTTTCGTATGGAGACTTCATTACATTCCACTTTGGGGCATATGAGGGTAAAGCTACAGCTTTGTACATAGGAGAGTGGCATCACCCATTGGGAGAAGTCATTCTCCATATAACGTAGACAGTTTGGAGTCTGCTCAGATCAAAGACTGTGATGGTTAATATTGAGTGTCAACCTGATTGGACTGAAGGACACAAAGTATTGTTCCTGGGTGTATCTCTGTGAGGGTCTTGGCAACGGAGACTAATATTTGAATCAGTGGACTGGGAGAGGCAGACCCACTCTCAATCTGGGTAGGCACAATCTAATCAGCTGCCAGTGTAGCTAGAAATAAAGCAGGCAGAGGAACATGGAGGGATTACACTGGCTGAGTCTTCCAGCCTTCATCTTTCCCCCGTGGTAGATGCTTCCTGCCCTCGAACATCGGACTTCAAGTTCTTCAGCTTTTGGACTCTTGGACTTACACTGGTGGTTTGCCAGGGGCTCTCGGGCCTTCGGCCACAGACTTGAGGCTGCACTGTCGGCTTCCGTACTTTTGAGATCTTGGGATTCAGACTAGCTTCCCTGCTTCTCAGCTTGCAGACGGCCTATTGTGGACCTCACCTTGTGATTGTGTGAGTCGATACTCCTTCATAAACTCCCCTTTATATATACATCTATCCTATTAGTCCTGTCCCTCTAGGGAACCCTGACTAACACAAAGATCATATGTATTTATATATATATACACATACATATTTGAGACAGAGTCTTGCTCTGTCACCCAGGCTGGAGTGCAGTGGCATGATCTCAGCTCACTGCAACCTCTGCCTCCTGGGTTCAAGAGATTCTCCTGCCTCAGCCTCCTGAGTAGCTGGGATTACAGGCACGTGCCACCATGCCCAGCTAATTTTTGTATTTTTAGTAGAGACAGCATTTCACCATGTCGGCCAAGCTGGTCTCAAACTCTTGGCCTCAAGTGATCCGCCCGCCTCAGCCTCCCAAAGTGTTGGGATTACAGGCGTGAGCCACTGTGCCCAACCAAAGATATTCCTTTGGGAGCTTCCTTCAACAGCACTTACCCACCCGCAAGAGTGAGCTTGAACACCTGCTTTGCACCATGTGACTTCCTTTCTGACCCCATGACTGCATTTTATTGGACCAGGCATAAACAACTGATGTAAATTGGACCAGTCAGATTCTCTCTTCAGGGATTTGGGATTTAGAACTAAGAGGCAGCTACCTAGTTTCTGCATAAAGTTGGAATTGAGATTTTCTAGACACAGGAATTGGGGACCAATGGTGTTGGAGTTGTTACACCAGATAGGTGTAAAAGTCCTGCCTGCTGAGAGGATTATGTGGAAGCTGATCAGGTTGCCGGGGACAAGTGGAGGCAGGGTAGGGCTGAAGGGCTGTGGGATGGAGAACCTCAGAAGACTCCATCTGGGGTCCAGGAAAGGACAGAGAAGGTATTAGGGATCGGGTCCTCCAGATCTAAGGGTGGGGTGGTGGCATGTTTCTTGAGTTGGTTCCTGGAAAGGGAGCTGAAATGGTTTAATCCCTCTTCCATGAAACACAGGCGGTGGGGACAGCCACCAGACAGGAAAACACACTGTACATTGATCCTTTTATGACTTTTTGAAATTGATGGACAGGCAGGTGGGGAGGGGTCCTGGGAGAGAGTCTGGGTCACTCCATCTTGGGGTATCTCTTTCGCCCTCCTCCTTAGAGGGGAAGCTTTGGCCTGTGCTGGGGTGGGGGAAGAAGAAGATGATGTGGAGCCTGAAGCAAGGTTAGGGTGGAGCAACTGAGGATTTCCAGCATGGGTGACCGGGCTGATTAGGACTGGATCCAGCTGCCCCACTGCTCCACCGCCTGCCCAACACTTAACCTCCACACACTGTGCCCTCGGATGGTTGGGAGAAGCCTGTGCCCAGCCCTTCGGCCACCAGAAGAAAATCAGGAATAGAATCTCTGGTTTTGAAGACACAAAAAGTTAGACAGCTTTATTAAATAGACTTTAATTCGAAGTAAACCAGAGAGTTTTGTGTGCAGAAATATTTTGCTTAACTTAGGGCCATCACTGCATTATGAACTCTGGTGTGTGTGTGTGTGTGTGTGTGTATGTGCGCGCACGCGTGCACAGGCCAGTGTCCTTCTGTGGGGGTGTCTGCGTGAGGACCCCTCCATGCTTGTCATTATGGCCTCCCCCTGTGCACCTGAGCCTATGGATAAGGTATAGTCTTGTCTTGAGTCCCAGTATTCACTCCCCTTGTAGAATCCTGACAGCCTTCAGTCACCTTCCCTTTTCCAGTCTCCCAAAAGCAATGGCGCCTTAAGTGTGCGGTGAGGATGGGGTGGGTCTTGAGGTAGCCTAGACCACAGCTGTCCCTTCAAGGCGAGGCCTCAGCTGAGTGCAGGAGATAGGAGAAGCTGGTCCTGGAGCAATTCCAGAAGCGCAGGACCACGAACACCCCGACCCCCAGCAGCAAGAGGCCGCCCAGGGACCCAAAGAAGATCCCGAAGAACACGTCGAGTTTCATGCTCAGGTGCTCACAGTGCTCTCCCCAGGCCGTGTAGATGGAGAAGGACACACAGCTGGGGACCGAGAGAGAGACAGCGTGTCAGAGGCGGGAGCTCAGCCTCCCAGCCCCGCCTCTTCCGCTGGGGAAGATGTTCTCTAGGAGAGGCTGGGCTTGCCCCACTCTCCGGAGAGAAAGGCTGAGTCAGCCCTGAGGCCGTTCTGAAGTGAGGCCACTGGGCCAAGAGGCAGCTGTGGGCTTTAAAACATGGGCCTGGGCCGGGCCTGGTGGCTCACGCCTGGAATCCCAGCACTCTGAAAGGCTGAGGCGGGCGGATCACTTGAGATCAGGAGTTCAAGACCAGACTGGCCAACACGGTAAAACCCCATCTCTACTAAAAATACAAAAATTAGCCAGGCGTGGTGGCGCGCACCTGTAGTCCCAGCTACTCGGGAGGCTGAGGCAGAATCGCTTGAACCCGGGAGGCGGAGCTTGCAGTGAGCCGAGATTGCAACACTGCACTCCAGCCTGGGGGACACAGAGACCCCGTCTCAAAAACAAAAACAAAAACGTGGAGTGAATTCAGCTGCGCGTGCAGTCAGCTGTGCCTGGGCAGCAGGGATGCCGACTGGCCACAAGTGGGCATGCGCAGTCACAGCCCCGCCCCGGCCCCGCCCCGCCCGGAGAGCTGGGCCCCGCCCCCGCTCCGCCCACCCCCTTCTTCGGCGGATCTGGAACTGCAGCTGGCGGAGGGCGCGGAGACCAGGCCTGCGTGCGCCGCGGCTTCCTGCGCTGTTCACCAGCGGAACCCCGGGACTGCTGGTGAGGGCAGGGGCAAAGGCGCCTCCCGTGACTGAGGGGCAGGGCTGGCCCTAGACACAGGACTGCAGGTTCCTTCCCCACAAGGAGACAGCAGGGAAGCAGCAGCCAGATCAGGTGGGAGGGTTTGACTTTGGGCCTCACGCCTGTAATCTCAGCACTTTGGGAGGCTGAGGTGGGCGGATCACCTGAGGTCAGGAGTTTGAGACCAGCCTGGCCAACATGGCGAAACCTTGTTTCTACTAAAAATACAAAAATCAGCTGGGTGTGGTGGTGCGCGCCTGTAGTCACAGCTACTCGGGAGGCTGAGGCAGGAGAATGGCGTGAACCCGGGAGGTGGAGGTTGCAGTGAGTCGAGATCACGCCACTGCACTCCAGCCTGGGCGACGGAATGACACTCCATCTCAAAAAATAAAAAATGTTTGGCTTTGGAAACCATGCCCTGCTGCTTAACCTACTGGCTCCCCGGGCAAGTTCCTGGTCATCTTTAAGCTGCAGTTTTCTCATCTTCGAAATGGTTTCAGTACCCCCTGTGGCTCCTTTGGGTTTCAGAGTTTGTAATATATTCTCCACACAGAGCAGGCACTCACAACTCTCCCTTCCCACTGTCCCCTCTTCCCAGGTCTCCGATCTTTCTCGTTACAAAGGGAGCCATCCTAATTTCTGGACCCCTTGCGGTGTCTTGCCCAGCTTGGGTTCCCCAGCACTGTCATCCACCTCCTGGCCGCAGCCCTATGCACCTGCAGCGGGGCCCACTGGGCAGGTGCTGGCACTGGCCTCCATGGTCACAGTAGCCTCTACTGCACGGGGACACGCAGGTGAAGCCGCTCTGGGGGCTATAGACCAGGTCATAGCCCTTGTAGCCATTGCATTTGAAGTAAGCCTTCAGCGTGCTCACGTTCACTGTCGGGAAGGACATAGATTAACACAGAAAGCAACTGATGAACACTAAATCAATACCTTTTCAACCACGAATTCTTTTTCAGGTGTTTCTCCTGAGAAGTAATTAGAGAGATGCACAGATACATATGCCCCTGCATATTCAGATCAGCGTGGTGGATAATAGTAACAACGTTTCAGAAGTGGGGTCGGGTTAAATAAACTGCACATCCTTACCAAGGGATGACAGTTCCTATGGAAAAAGTTTCCTATGGAAAAAGTTTTCTATGGAAAATGCTTTCCTAAAGAGCGTATGCTTTGAAGGTGGCCAGACCTGGGTTGAAACTGAAACTCTACTAGTAACTAGATGTGTAATTCAGGGAACATTCCTTAACTCTTTCAGTGTCAGTTTCCTTATCTTTAAAAGGAAATGATCATAATAGCACTTATGCTGCTGTGAGATTTAAATGAGGTAATATGTCCACAGTACTCAGTACACTGCCTGACACACAGTAAGCACTCAAAAAATGGAAATGATTATTCTAATGTATTTTAAAATATGACACTATATTCAAACCTACCATTATAATATGTCAAATGGGAATATGGATACAATATATGAGATAATCTGTTCACAAATGTTTAACGAGGAGGTTATCAAACATTAGGAATGATTTGATCCTTCAATAAAAAATCGATGTGTGAAGTTCTTAGGCATAAATGAAAGTTCAGAAGGATATGTACAAAATATTGTTGTCTCTCTGGGGATTGGGATTACAGGGTTTTTTCCCTCTTTTCTTTTTGTTAAATTTGTGTTTCCTAAAGTTTCTGCAATAAACATAGGATACTTGTATAATAAAAATTATAGGTTTTCCTTAATTGCATAGTCAGGGTTTGCCTCCCTGGGCCTCCTACCCCAACTCCCCAACATACAGTAGTTCTGAGGGATTTCACCCACTGCTCCAGGAGAGAGCAGGCTTAGCCTGCATTCTAGGAGAAGCTCTTGCTTGGTCCCAGACCCAAGTAAAACAGCACTTTCTGTTGTGTTTGGGGTGGCCACTGCCCTATTCTCTGCCCTATACAGAAAATAGGATGTGTTATTCGTTTGTTACTCTGACAAGCTTGCCAACTTATACCTGTTCCAGGAGAACCAGGGGCTGTCAGCACTGAAAGGGGGCTCAGAAATCTCATCTCATTTTCAGATGGGGGTGCTGAGGCCTGGCCTGGCCTGGCGAAGGTGCTCAGGGGTGCTGAGGCCTGGCCTGGCCTGGGGAAGGTGCTCAGGGGTGCTGAGGCCCGGCCTGGCCTGGGGAAGGTGCTCGGGGGTGCTGAGGCCTGGCCTGGCCTGGCGAAGGTGCTCAGGGGTGCTGAGGCCTGGCCTGGCCTGGGGAAGGTGCTTGGGGGTGTTGAGGCCTGGCCTGGCTTGGGGAAGGTGCTTGGGGGTGTTGAGGCCTGGCCTGGGGAAGGTGCTGGGGGGTGTTGAGGCCTGGCCTGGCTTGGGGAAGGTGCTTGGGGGTGTTGAGGCCTCGCCTGGGGAAGGTGCTGAGGAGCGTTGAGGCCTGGCCTGGGGAAGGTGCTGGGGGGTGTTGAGGCCTGGCCTGGCCTGGGGAAGGTGCTTAGGGGTGTTGAGGCCTGGCCTGGGGAAGGTGCTGGGGGGTGTTGAGGCCTGGCCTGGCCTGGGGAAGGTGCTTGGGGGTGTTGAGGCCTCGCCTGGGGAAGGTGCTGAGGGGTGTTGAGGCCTGGCCTGGGGAAGGTGCTGGGGGGTGTTGAGGCCTGGCCTGGCCTGGAGAAGGTGCTGGGGGGTGTTGAGGCCTGGCCTGGCCTGGGGAAGGTGGTTGCACAGGGTCACATCATTTCAGGGAAGAGTTGCCTCTGTCCCTGGCCGGTCTCCAGTCTCCAGCTTAATAGCCTGCAGCTGGAGGACAGACATGATGGGGGTGTCCTTGTGTATGTTTAAGTGCAATGGCATCTTAAGAAAACTATTAGCAATGTTATGAAAATAAATTGCTGCTGTTTTATTAGCGGCCACAGTCAGCAAGGCCCTGGCTGAGTACTTGCTCTGTGAAGCTGCATACATGGGACTGCCTTAGCAGTGCTGGCTGCTCCTGCTCTTGAATCTAAAAGGAAGCTGGATAAAATGTTCACGTTTTCTCTCAAAACCAAGCAAACAGAAAAACTCAACTAACTTGTTTGTGTGGGCGGAAGCACCTCCGTTTACCCGCCCCCTGCAGTGACCCCCACATTGTCCCTGGAATGGATGGACTCACGGGCTGTCACATCCCACACGTCTTCCCTGGAGATGGGCTGGAAGACCACATGGTTCCTGGACTCCTCCCTCCTCCGTGGAACCTGGTAGAAGAACACCTCCACTACCGCAGCCAGCAGCTGGTTGTTCAGGAAGTCGATGACGGGGCCCCAAGGGCGGTACTGGAACTCCGAGATGACCATCCAGTGTTGAATGGGGCTTCCCGAGGCAGGTGCTGGGGAATCGCTGTGTGGGAGGGTGACGGTGAGGGGGGCCAGGGAGCGGGGGATGAGGAAGAGGACCTGGGGGCTCAGGGGGACACAGTCCCACTTACATTCGGTTCACTTGGCTGTTGCGGAGAAAGGCCCGCATGTCCAGGGTCCCCAGTATGTATGCCACCTAGGACAGGATGGGGGATGGGCGGGTGGGGGTGAGGCCCCATCCAGAGGGGAGATCCCCTCCCACCTTGATGGGTGTATTCATCCCTGTTTCCTCCTGGAACAGGAGCCCCAGGGGAGACCCCCTCCCACCTTGATGGGTGTATTCATCCCTGTTTCCTCCTGGAACGGGAGCCCCAGGACCCCAGCACATTCCTCACCGTCTCTGCATCCTCGCACTCTAACCTAGCCCAGTGACTGTCGCGGGTCCTTGCTTAATAACGTTTGTTGTGAGTGAAGGGTTTTCCATTCTGTCCCCCTCCTCAGCCTCGCCTCTGCTGCATGACTCATGACCCCTCCACAGTATACTGAACATGGGTTAAGTAGACCTAGGAGGTGGTCAGGGGCTGTGGGTGTCAAGGTGACTTAGGTGGAGTCTAAACTCAAAGAGTGCATAGTCTGGTGCAGGTGACAAATGTCAACAGATTTTACCACGTGGAGTGGGGAGTGGGGAGTGGGAAGTAGGGAGTGTGGAGTGGGGAGCAGGGAGTGGGGAGTGTGGAGTGGGGAGCAGGGAGTGGGGAGTGGGGAGCGTGGAGTGGGGAGTATGGAGTGGGGAGTGGGAAGTAGGGAGTGGGGAGTATGGGGATTGTGGAGTGGGGAGTGGGGAGTGGGAAGTAGGGAGTGGGAAGTAGGGAGTGGGGAGTGTGGAGTGGGAAGTAGGGAGTGGGGAGTGTGGAGTGGGGAGTGGGAAGTAGGGAGTGGGGAGTGTGGAGTGGGGAGTGGGAAGTAGGGAGTGTGGAGTGGGGAGTGGGAAGTAGGGAGTGGGGAATGTGGAGTATGGAGTGTGGAGTGGGGAGTGGGGAGTGGAAAGTAGGGAGTGGGAATGGGAAGTGGGGAGTGTGGAGTGAGAAGTGGGGAGTGGGGAGTGGGGAGTGTGGAGTGCTATGTGTGCAGTAGTAATAATAGCAATTACAATGTTTGAATACTTGCGTGTCGGGCACCGTACTAAATGCTTGACGCACATCATTTAAACGGTGAGACAGCCTGTTGACTCAGGTGCTATGCTTGTCCCTGTGTTTACAGATGACCTGTTACATAATGTGTGTAATTAACATACCTGCTCTAGTGAGGGGCAGCGCAGAGGTTTTGATTCTGGGTGTGCAGGATGCTAGAGCCTCAAACACTCGGCAGTTGTGCAACTTTGCCTGTGATTGGGGTATGGCATGGAAGCCAAGAGCAGGGAGCACCCAGTTCCCTCTGGGAAGTCAGGGAAGACTCCCTGGAGGTGAAACGTCCTTTGGTTTCTTCCAGGTCATACCCGAGATGCTTAGAGGTCTCGGCTGGGGTGACTTGGCACCCTGGCCTCTGCTTGTGGTGAGCTGAGGTTTCTGTCCCCGGCCTTCCTCACTTCCTAATGCCCTGCACCTCCCATGGGGCAACAGGCTCCGGCCTTCTCTGGCAATTGAATCCAGATGGATGACAAGATGAAGGCCGCACAGGGATGGTTCCGCCCTCGCCTGAACCCGCCAAGCGTCCCCTCCCACCCGGAGCGCGGCCTGCAGCACTGACCGAGGCGTTGACCTCTGCCATGGAGGCATTTTCCTCTTCACTGAGCAAGAGCTGGATGACTCTTAAGGGAGGTTCTGGAGATGGGAGAAGCAAATGTATCATCACCCCACGGTTTACCCAGACTTAACCCAAGAAGTCCGTCGGGCCAGCCCAGGGCAACGGCTCCATTCCACAGTGACAGGTCACTGAAGACACCGGAGAAGTGGCCCTCACCCTAGCGCTCACTCCACTATGCCCCGGGCCTCCGGCAGCTCATCTCACTGAGCCAGCTGTGAAGTCTCTGCCTCCGTCCTTCCTCCACAGGCCACACAGCCCCGTGGTCCTTGCTGTGACAGCTGCCCTCGCCAGCTCCTACAGCCCGCACCTTACACCATCCCAGAGAAATCCGGAGCTGTCCTGTGACCCCAGAGCTTCCCCATCCCATTATCATATCCCATTCCCCAAAGGTGGGAGGAGTGTGGAGGTGAGAGGGCGGGGCCCGGGTGGGGCACAGGGGTAAGAGGGCGGAGCCTGGGTGGGGTGCGGGGGTAAGAAGGCGGAGCCTGGATGGGGTGTGAGGGTGAGAGGGCGGGGCCTGGATGGGGTGCGAGGGTGAGAGGGCGGGGCCTGGGTTGAGTGTGGCGGTGAGAGGGCGGGGCCTGGGTGGAGCGTGGGGGTGAGAGGGCGGGGCCTGGGTGGAGCGTGGGGGTGAGAGGGTGGGGCCTGGGTGGAGTGCCGGGGTGAGAGGGCGGGGCCTGGGTGGAGTGTGGGGTGAGAGGGCGGGGCCTGGGTGGAGTGCCAGGGTGAGAAGGCGGGGCCTGGGTGGAGCGTGGTGGTTGAGAGGGTGGGGCCTGGGTGGAGCGTGGGGGTGAGAGGGCGGGGCCTGGGTGGAGCGTGGGGGTGAGAGGGCGGGGCCTGGGTGGAGCGTGGGGGTGAGAGGGCGGGGCCTGGGTGGAGCGTGGGGTGAGAGGGCGGGGCCTGGGTGGAGCGTGGGGGTGAGAGGGCGGGGCCTGGGTGGAGCGTGGGGGTGAGAGGGTGGGGCCTGGGTGGAGCGTGGGGGTGAGAGGGCGGGGCCTGGGTGGAGCGTGGGGGTGAGAGGGCGGGGCCTGGGTAGAGCGTGGAGGTGAGAGGGCGGGGCCTGGGTGGAGCGTGGGGGTGAGAGGGTGGGGCCTGGGTGGAGCGTGGGGGTGAGAGGGTGGGGCCTGGGTGGAGCGTGGGGGTGAGAGGGTGGGGCCTGGGTGGAGCGTGGGGGTGAGAGGGCGGGGCCTGGGTAGAGTGTGGAGGTGAGAGGGCAGGGCCTGGGTGGAGCGTGGGGGTGAGAGGGCGGTACCTAGGTGGACAGTTGGACTGAAGTTGTTCCCAGCCAGGAAGCAGAGGCTATCGGTGAAGGCCGGGGGGCAGGTGCATGTGGGCTGGCAGCCCAGAGTCTGGGAGATGTAGCAGCGGCCTTGATTGTAGCAGTAATTCACAGGGCAGGACTGGTTCCGACACAGGAGAGAGCTCCCCAGAGCTGCAGAGTGAGCAGGGAGGTCAGCAGCAGCGCACTGGGGCAGCGGAGGGAGAGCCCAGCCCGTGGAAACCCGCTCTGGGACAGGCCTGCTTTCTTTCCCCCAGTGTTCTGCTGTGGGCCACTCAGAACCCCAAACCATCCTTCCCCCCTTTTCCAGGCGTTTCTCTGCAAGGCAACCCCTTTCCTCGACCAGGCAGGTATTCTTCCACTTCTAGAGAGGGACTGGAGTGTTTCTCAGGCCTTCTGCTTCAGAAAGGACCCTGAAGGCTGGCAGAGGAGGGGCCCCCAGCCGGCTTTCCTCACGCCCTCGCCTCTCACTTCCGTCTCCTCTTCTGCGTTTATAAAATCTGTGGTTCTACCCACTCTGGCCTCGGCTCTGAAGGCACAGTGACCTCTAGATTTTATTTGGGTGCCTAAGGGGGCTTGGTAAAGGCCTTGCTGTGATCTCCCTCATCAGACTCTGATGGCTCAGAGCGGGAGGAACAGGTGGCTGGGAGGACTCAAAGGGAAAATCAGGCACCTTTGCTGCCGGATCCCCACGCCAGCCCCTCCAAACGTCCTGACTTGTGAGACGCAGAGATCCTGGGCCTCGTGTCTCTGAAGACCCCCAGGGAGCCCGAGGAGCCAGCTTGCCCGGTTCCCTGGCCGCTGCTGAAGTCTCCTCCCCTGGGCAGACCATCTTCAGTCTTTTGCCCAGGGTTTCCCCCATCAATGCCTCAGGGATGCTTAGCCCCGTCCCCTCCCCTATGCCTGTACAACCTCTTCTCCTTCAGCACCACACCATCCACCCCCTTTCCAGGCCTACCTAGATTTCCCGTACCTGCCTAGATTTCCCGTACCTGCCTAGATTTCCCGTACCTGCCTAGATTACCTACCTAGATTGCGCATTCTAAAGGCTTGCCAGAGAAGGGAGAGAAATGGTTTGCCTTTGGCTGTCCACACCCTTGAGCTGTGAGCTGCTCCCAGAAGTCCCTCCTCCAGGCCCTGTTCCCGGCTCACCAGCACAGTGCCGTCCATCCCCAGTCAGGTGTGGAGGGCAGGCCTCGCAGCCCTTCCCAGGAATGCAGCGGACACTCGGGAAGCACGGCTCCTCACAGGCGTCCTTGGAGCGCTCACAGTAGCGGCCGAAGGTGCCCCCGTCACACTTGCAGCCGGCCATCTGGAGGAAGGTTGCTGATCACGGGCGGCCAGGAGACCAAACTGGTAAGGGCTTCTGGCTGTCTCTGACTGACCCCTTTGGCCTGGGAACCCGTGGACCCTGCCTGAGTCATGTCTCAGCTCCACCAGCACCTGGTGAGTATCTTCTTGACCAGGCCCTGGGGCTGCAAGGCCCTAAAGCCACACGGTAGTCCTGCCCATTTGGCCTCCCTGGTTCATTATTTACTCCGACTCCTTGCCTGGCCCTGCACCAGGATCTCAGCCTCTTCCCTCTCACACTCTAGCTCTTTGCCTGAAATCCTTTCTAGAGTAAGACGGGGGATGCGTGAATGATTGAAGCATTAATGAATGAATGAATGTATCCATGTATCTATGTATGTATCCATGTGTGTATATATGTATCACGTGTGTATATATCCATGCACGTATGTATCCACGTATGTATCAATGTATGTATCATGTATGTATGCATGTATCCATGTATGTATCCATGTATGTATCAATGTATGTATATATCCATGTATGTGTATCATGTATGTATGTATCAATGTATGTATCATGTATGTGTGTATGTACTATTGCTTGAAAACGGGATTCCTTATTTATTTATTTATTTTGAGACAGGGTCGCACTCTGTCACCCAGGCTGGAGTGCAGTGTCTTGATCTCGGCTCACTGCAAACTCCACCTCCCAGGTTCAAGCCATCCTCCCACCTCAGCCTCCTGAGGAGCTGGGACTATAGGCATGTACTACCATGCCCACTAATTTTTGTATTTTTCTTTTTCTTTTTTTTATGAGACAGTCTCGTTCTGTTTTCCAGGCTGCAGTGTAATGTCTTGATCTCGGCTCACTGCAATGTCCCCCTCCTGAGTTAAAGCAATTCTTGTGCCTCAGCCTCCCAAATAGCTGGGATTACAGGCATATGCCACCATGCCCAGCTAATTTTTTGATTTTTATTAGAGACAGCGTCTTCACATATTGCCCAGGCTGGTCTCGAAGTCCTGAGCTCAAGCAATCCACCTGCCTCAGGCTCCTATGTGGCCTGCAAACTGGATTTCATATAAGCTGACATTTTGACCTCCCTTGCTGACTCCCAAACCAAGAAGACGGAACCTCCCTGCTAAGTACTGAGAAAACACAGCAACCAGAACAACAGCCCAGCAAAGGCTGTGGCTCCAATATCTCCCCATGCTCCCTGCACTCCCCTTTCTAACTCCCTTACTGAAGCAACTCGGGGCAGTTCCAGAATAGTAGATTTTTTAATCTGTCTTTTTCCCATTGTGTATTTTATCCTTTTCTACCCCCCACCTCACCAACCATCACTACCTCTATCCCTTTCAAGTCCCCATTCTCTGCTCATGCTTCAGAAGGATGTGTATGTGTATGTGTCTGTGTGCGTGTGCATGTGTGTGTGCGTGTGTGTGTGTAAAGGGTGAAGGAGGTGGTTTTGTGTTGCCAGATAAACACTTTCTGGCTCTTCCTTTACAACCAAAAATAAAAATTAAAAAGCACATAGGACAAGAGTTGTGGAATTAGGCCAAATATCTTGGCTAGAAACATGGAGAAGTAATTTCTCCAAACTGGAAAAGATGTTTCTTTTAGCCAGAGGGAGAGAGTAAAAGAGAAAGCAAAGGGGCTTGGAGGTGTCAAGATAGAGCGACCAGCAGCTCTCTTCCCAGCACCGTGATGATGACATCCTAGGGAGAAATGGCTGTGGGGTGCTTCTAGGCAGACAGGACCGTAAGTGGCCTCGTAAAACGTGTCCTATGTCTGAGCAAGGCACAGAAGCAGCAGAGCCTCTCCCTGGGTCTGAAGGGGAAGTGGGGCAGAGCTGGGATGGAAACCTGTGTGGACTCATGCCCAGGGACCCCATGACCACCTTCCACCCCACACCGCAGGGCCCTCTGCTGAGCTTTGCCACAGAGCTGTGGAACTGGAAACCATTGGGCACTGTGAGAAAGACTGAGGTGGAGGCTTCCTGCCAACCTGGCAGAGGGGAGGTGGGAGAGAAAAGTCCGGTTGAACTATAAGCAATCAAGTTTCTTTCTCTTTCTTTCTTTTCTTTTCTTTCTCTCTTCCTTTTTCTTTCTCTTTCTTTCCTTTCCTTCCCCTTTCCTTCCTTCCTTCTTTCTTTCTTCTTTCTTTTTCTCCAATAAAGTTTCTTTCTTTCTCTTTCTTTTCCTTCCTTCCTTCCTTTCTCTTTATTTCTTTTCTTTCTTTCTTTCTTTTTTTCTTTCTTTCTTTTCTTTCTGTCTGTCTCTCCTTTCCTTTCTTTCCTTCCTTCTTTCTTTCCTTTCTTTTCATTCTTTCTCTTTGAGATGGAGTCTCACTCTGTTGCCCAGGCTGGAGTGCAGTGGCGCAATCTTGGCTCACTGTAACCTCCGCCTCCCGCGTTCAAGCGATTCTCCTGCCTCAGCCTCCCAAGTAGCTGGGACAACAGGCGCCCGCCACCACACCTGGCTGATTTTTGTATTTTTAGTAGAGATGGGGTTCCACCATGTTGGTCAGGCTGGTCTCGATCTCCTGACCTTGTGATCCGCCTGCCTCAGCCTCCAAAAGTGCTGGGATTAAAGGCGTGAGCCACTGCACCTGGCCAGAAAGTTCTCTTTCTTCCCATGTGAGTTTATGGCCTGAGACTGGAATCTGCTCCACCCACCTCCCAACACCAACACACCCAGCAGAGGCAGAATCACAGCATCCGTTCCACTCCCGTTTCCTCTCCCCTCGGCACAGAAACTCCTCACCTGCCTCCCAACACTCACCTCCAGGGAGGAGTTGCCCACCCTGCTGGTCTGGTTGTACAAACACTGGCTCTCTGCATTGCAATGGCAGACCACAGTCCTGGGCTGGAGTGCAGATGCCAAGCCAATCTTGGCACTTCTTGCTAGAATCTCCAGAGTGAATGGCTCCAACGACTTGGGTGTCCATAGCAACGTCCCATTCTCTGCCCCGGGGAAGATGAGAACGTTGAGAGCCGGGAGACTCCTCAGCTCTGTGGTCTGATGCATCCTCATCCAACACCCTGATTGCTGATGCGGGGCTTCTCCCACCCATCTCAGGCCACCTCCCCACTCCCCAGACAAATCTCATTGGTGATTTCCTTTGAACAAGGCTGGTATCGGGTGATCCTGGTCATGCTCCCAGCTGGAAGGAGGTGGCACCAGTCCAACATACTGATTGTAACGGGGGACACCACAGAGGGAAAAGCAGTTTCCCACTGAAGAAACCCCAAAGGGCAGCCCTCGCTGGGCTTGCACCAGGATGGCACATCCTGGGGGATGGAGGATCAAGGCCAGGATCCTCCAGGCACCTCCCCAGGCTATGCTGCCAGCCAAACCAGCTTCATTCTCACAGCAGCCCCATCCTTTGCCCTGATTTCTCACCCACCCCCCACTTCCTGGACCTTTCCCAGACACCCCCTTCAGACACCACACTGTAGTGAAACACTGCTACACATCTTCTGATCCAACTTACACTTTTCAAGAAAATAGGAAAGCCTAGAACAGCAGATTGAAAGGAAGTGACAGAGAACAGACGAACGCAATTTCCAGACCATCGTCCTCCAGGGATGGAGCCCGTGGAGAATAAAATCTCCCAACGCCGTTGTCTTGCACCTGGAAGGACGCACGTGGGGCACAATTGTCTCACACTTGGGAGGACGCATGTGAGGCAAAAGGGATGTGGGCAAAGCAGTCCCTTCTGGCACACGGAGAGAAAGAACGTCAGGCAGAGAGGCAAAGAAATGCAGATATGCCCCCTGGGGCTTTGGTTTAGCCAAGAACAGTCACCCACAGAATTAGTGCTGGCAACAGGCAGCGGCATCCCTTGTGCTGGGACCCTTTGGCCCTGATCGTGGATGCAGGGCTCAGGGTCTCTAACACCTTTATGGAGAGGAAACGATGGTACGTTACTGGGTCCTAGCCCAGGAAATCAGACAAGGAGAGACACAGCTAGGTAAACACGGTTACCAGACATAAAAAGAGCAAGAAAGGTACCAAATGAAAGTATTTTTTATATTTCTTTAAGTCTTGTCCTACATTAGATCCTTCCTTTAATAGATATAAAAATGTTGTAAATTGGTCATTTTAAATGTTGCACTTGATTATTCTAATACTTTGGTGAATGCATAATGATTAAAGATGACTGCGTATGATCAGATTGAGATTAAATGATCTTTGAGTCAGTTTGGTTTTTTTTTTTTTTTGAGATGGAGTCTCGCTCTATTGCCCAGGCTGGAGTGCAGTGACGCGATCTCAGTTCACTGCAACATCTGCCTCCTAGGTTCAAGCGATTCTTCTGCCTCAGTCTCCCGAAGAGCTGGGATTACAGGCACCCGCCACCATGCCTGGCTATTTTTTTTGTTTTTTTAGTAGAGATGGGGTTTCACCGTGTTGGCCAGGCTGGTCTTAAACTCCTGACCTCAGATGATCCACCCGCGTCGGCCTCCCAAAGTGCTGGGATGACAGGCCTGAGCCACCACGCCCAGCCTTGAATCAGTTCTATGTGCCCACATTCACTCTACCTATCTGACCAAATCACCATAAGCCTGTCACTACTACTTACTGGGGGGCACCTATTTGAGTTATACGTATCGTTCCTCAGAAATGCCGGTCCTGGATATTCAAATGAAAGAGTGATGGCAAGTTTTGCTGGGTATAGCGATGCAAAATTTCCCAAAGTTTGACTCTGACCTCATCCCTACCCACCTCCCCACTCTCCCCAACCAAACATTCTTACCAAAGAGCTTAAAGTCAGTCCAGTTGTCTCTGAGCGTGAAGGTGGCATCCTCAGCATTGCTGGTGTACTGAATCAGCGTGGTCTGCCCCTTGTAGGCTTCAACCACATGACCACCATTGATGGAGGGCGGGTACTGATCTGAAACACAAAGAGGGGATGGGGGTTCCGAGGGAGGGCAGTCTCCTGCTTTATCAGCCTCCTCTCTTTCTCAAATCTAATATGTGTGAGGCATTCCCAGGACTGTGCCCCACCTCTGGAAGAAGGAATTATTCTGTGTACCCGCTCTCGACTGACGCACAGCAGGCTGGGACTGTACTGCCCACCTAGCCAAATCTTTAGCCTCTCTCTCTCCCCCAGCCTCCTCAAAAAGAGCTCCTTTCGGATTCTTTCCTGAACATGGTGCTATGCTGGGTATGACAAAAAGCGAATTCGAGAGCAGATTTGTTTAGACCATTACAGAGTTGTACCTTTGGCAAAGGGCTGAAAACCTGAAGGGTGCCGGGCGTGGTGTCTCATGCCTGTAATCCCAGCACTTTGGGAGGCCGAGGCCGGCAGATCACCTGAGGTCGGGAGTTCAAGACCAGCCTGACCAACATGGTGAAACCCCGTCTCTACTAAAAATGCAAAATTAGTCAGGCGTAGTGACAGGCACCTGTAATCCCAGCTACTCAGGAGGCTGAAGCAGGAGAATCGCTTGAACCCGGGAGGCAGAGGTTGCCGTGAGCCGAGATCACGCCATTGCACTCCAGCCTGGGCAACAAGAGTGAAACTCCATCTTAAAAAAAAAGAAAAGAAAAGAAAGAAAGAACGAAAAAAACCTGGAGAGTCACATCGAAACGCACATCACATTTGTCCAGAAATAGAGAGGGAGTGAAACCTTTTCACGGAGCTGTTTCTCGGAACCCTGCCATTTCCATTTCATAGTTGGTTCACACATCCATTCAATCTGTCATTTAACAAATATTTATTGAGCTAAGTGGCTGGCATTGCTCTGGGTAGTGAGGATACAGTCATGAATGAATAATAAAAAAGATACCTGTGAAAATTATAAAATGTTGAGTAATTATAAATGCTAAGGAGAAAAAAATAAAGCAGGAAAGGCAAACAGGAAGTGTGGGTGAATGTGCCATTTTAGACAGGGCGGCCAAGAGAGCCCTCACTGAGGAGGGGAACTGGAATAAAGACATAAAGGAGGTGAGGGGCAAGCGTGTGGCTGTCCAGGGAAGGAAAGGCATTCAGGCAAGAGAACAGCATGTGTGAAGCCTGGGAGCTGAGTGCACATGCCTGGTGTGTTTGAGGAACACAGAGGAGCCTGCGGGGCTGGAGTGGAGGGAGGTGGGAAGGCGTCCAGCAGTAGGATGGAGTGCAGGGAGCTGGGAAGGGGTCCAGCACTAGGATGGAGTGCAGGGAGCTGGGAAGGGGTCCAGCACTAGGAGAAGAGCTCTGAGAAATGGCGGGGGGCAGACTGAGCGGGCTGGAGTGCAGGGAGCTGGGAAGGGGTCCAGCACTAGGAGAAGAGCTCTGAGAAATGGCGGGGGGCAGACTGAGTGGGCTGGAGTGCAGGGAGCTGGGAAGGGGTCCAGCACTAGGAGAAGAGCTCTGAGAAGCTGAACCGGGCCAAAGGCCCCTGCTAGGATGGAGAGAGCGGGGGAAGCCACTGGAGGGTCTGAGCAGAGGAATAACAGGAGCAAAAGAATCTGTTCAGTGAATGCAGATGCACAGGGTAAAGCAGGGTCAGGGAAGGGCAGCTCCTCATCTGCTGCTTCTCTGAAAAGGCCTCCCAGGGGCTTGGGCCACTTACTGAGGGTGGCGTTCACCTGCTTGTAGGTTTTGCTGACGGCCCTCGTGTGAAGTCCGATGCTTGCGTTGCGCAGGGCCAGGGTGTCATAGATGCATGAGCTGTCTCCATTACAGCTGGAGATCACATCTTCAGCCCAGGAGCTGTTTTGCAGTTGTGAGTAGAAAACAGGGGTGAAGTTGGAAGGCAGCTGGTCATTCCTCTTGCCAAGAAGGCCTGTCCCGTTGATCTGCCCTGTAACACACAGAGCGTGATGGTACCGGGCATGGCACTCAGCCTTATTCCTTCTGTGTCCACCCCTACCCCTCACTTTATGTGGCCTGGAGCAGGGCGGTGGGAGTGCAGGGCGACAGCGGTTTCTAGCTTCTGAGTCTGGAAACGCCTGCTGCAGTGAGAGAGGACGCTCAACCTACCCCATTCTCTCCTCCAGCTAGAGAAAGGCAGGTGCACTGGTCCTGGGGGGACAGTCCTGGGGGGCCGAGGGGGGGCACAGATTCCTCGGACCTTAGGGAGGATGGAGGTCTGCTTCCTACAGGGCTGAGGGGGACGACCTAAACACACTGGCTCTCCTTACCTGCCCCTTCTGCCCCGAGACCCTGCCCAGACTCACAGGTCATTCCGTAGTGGAAAAGCGTCTCCTCAGAGCTCCCTGGGGGGACGGTGGAGCCATTGGGCATCCTGAAGTCGTCCTCCGGATTGTTATTCCAGACTCCTGAGGGACAGTCAGAGTGGGAGGTTGGCCACCCTGGGCACACAGCTGTCCCCTTCCTGGGGAGCATCCAGTGAACGCAGTGGGGAGAGGCCAGGGCCTGGCAGCCTCTGCCGTCGCACCTGCTGTCAGGCCTCCAGGGGAGCCGGGAGGACGGGCCCTCACACCCTGCCCAGCTGCCTCCGGGAGGGGTGGGAGGAACGCGGGCAGCCATGGAAGAGGGCGGGAGGATGTGGGAGGCAAGAGGAAAGGGCCAAAGGATGGCTGTGACCCCGCCCCCGACTCCCTGGAGCCCACCCCTGATGCTCCCTTAGGGCGGGAGGTGGCCAGAAAGGGTGCCTCGGTGGCGGCTGGAGAAGCCCCTCCGCTCCCGGCCCGCTCCGTGCCCGAGGGTTCTGCTCCAAGGAGGCGGAGAAAGGGAGGCCGAGCAGGGCTGCCCGGGCCCGCGGGCGTGGGGGTCCGAGCTCCGGCTCCGTAGAGCCTCAGAGGCAGGTGCGCGCCGCCCTCACCCAGGAGCCCCTCCGTGCGGTTCTGGTACTCGGGCGGGAGGCTGGCGGAGGCGTGGAGGATGTCGGAGAGCGCGATCACCGAGACGGCGGCCCAGCCGTCGAAGCTGGCAGAGACCACGGAGCCGTTGCGGCTCAGGAGGACTCCGGTGGCGTTGACCGTCTCCTGGCCTGCAGCATCGGGAGGGCGCGGAGAGGAAGCCAGGTCGGCACCGCGGCCCCCACCGAACCCGCGCCCTGCCCGGCCCGCACCAGCCCTCCCCATCCCTCTCCCCCTCCCCCTGCCCCTGCCCCTGCCCCTCCCCCTCCCCCCGCCCCCTCCCCCGCCCCCGCCCCCTCCCCCGCCCCTCCCCCTGCCCTCCCCTCCCCCTCCCCCTCCCCCTACCCCTGCCCCTCCCCCTGCCCCGGGACTGAAGCCTGGAGGAATCTGCACTGGAGGCGGGAGAAGAGGCCGGCGAGCTGCAGGCCCCGCTCCGGGGAAAGAGGCTGCGCGCACTTGGCCTTGCACCGCCACGCACTGGACCCTGCACCGCAACGCGCTCGGCCCTGGATCGCCACGCCCTGGACCCTGCCCCGCAACGCGCTGGGCCCTGCATGGCCACGCCCTGGACCCTGCCCCGCAACGCGCTGGGCCCTGGATCGCCACGCACTGGACCCTGCACCGCCACACACTGGACCCTGAACCGCAATGCGCTCGGCCCTGCACCGCAACACGGCTTCCCGCCCAGCTCGCTGCTCCCGGAGGTAGGGCGCTCCCCAGCCCACCTCCGCCGTCTCCATGTCCAGGCTCAAATGTCACAGTCTGGTTATCCAGCAGGACATGGATTCCATCATGAGGCTCAAGGAGCCATTGGACCTGGAAGGAGATGGGAAGGGGTCTGAGCCCGACCCGCAGGTGGAGCCGACGCCCAGGAGAGCGGCTGGGAGAGCCCCCGGGGCTGGAAGCTGCGCCCTGGGCCTGGAGGAAGGCGCTGGAGGCCGCGGCCCGAGTGACGCCAGCCCCGTCTACCGTGTGCTCCGCAGGGCCAGGCATGGTTTTCGGATGAGCCCCTTTAGCTCTCACAACAGCCCGTGAGGCAAGTCATGTTATCCCCGTTCCTACCAGGAGAAAACCAAGTTAAGTAGTTTCTTCGAAGCCAAACAGCTGGGAAACCGTGGCGCCAGAGCCGTAATCCCCCATCCGCACGATTTACTCCGGGACAGCTGCGCGGATGGGGTGTGGCTCCCTCCCTCCTGCCCGGCTTCCTCTTCTTCGCTGTCTTCCTTCTCCTCAGCCTCAGTGTGTGGCTGAAGGTCCCTGTGGATGCAATGCAGGGAGGTCCCCGCGCCCCTCACTCACCGTCACGGGGCCCAGGCTGCCAGAGCGGTACTGAGCCGCAAAGGCGATGAAGTTGGTGGCCTGGGCTGAGCCAGTCTGGGCCGTGCGGCCCTGCAGCAGGAAGGAGGAGTTCCCGTCCTGGGCCCCGACCAGCAGGAAGTCCCCCAGCCCATTGAAGGTGTAATTGACACCATCCAAGGTGGTGATGTGGGGGTCCCCGAACATCCAGGCTGGGGAAAAAAGAGATGCCGCCTCAGCAGAGATGCCGCCTCAGCATGACAAACCAAGTGCCCGGCTGAGATTCCTCACTGCAGTCCGGGGGGCACCTGTCAGGTGGACTCAGGGCTGGGATTCCTCACTATAGTCAGGGAGGCACCTGTCAGGAGGACTCAGGGCTGAGATTTCCCACTACAGTGGGGGGGGCACCTGTCAGGAGGACTCAGGGCTGAGATTCCTCACTACAGTCGGGGGCCGGGCAGTGGGGGGCACCTGTCAGGAGGACTCGGGGCTGAGATTCCTCATTATAGTTGGGGGGGTACCTGTCAGGTGGACTCGGGGCTGGGATTCCTCACTGTAGTCAGGGGAAACACTTGTCCAGGTGGACTCAGCAGGGGAGATGTTCACGGAGCACAGATTCCTCCCCTCAAGGCTCCTTGCACTTTTGTGCCCCACTATTCTCACTCCTTCCCCAACACCAGGTACAAAGCCCCTCCACTGGCCGTCCGCCCATCACTGGCGTCATCTCCATCTTCCCTTGTGGCCACAGCTCTGCCCCTACTCCTCATCCAGATGCCACCTCCTGGAAGCCCAGAAGCTCCCCCTCCCCAGAGGCTCTGCCTGGGCCTGGGCCCTGAGGCTCACCAGGCCGTGGGGGTCTGTATGTAGCACAGCCCACGCGGGGCCGCCTCTGCTGGTACAGGGCACAGAGGTAGGGCTTGTCATTCCAGAGGCAGCACCAGTTCTGCGGTTCCAGTTCCGGGGCTGCAGAGAGGAGCAGTGAGTCGGGGAGGCTGAGGACCTGGAGGACCCAGCCGGAGAGCTGGGTGGCAGGGCGGGGTCAGTGGAGAGCTTGGTGGCAGGTCAGGGCAGTGTCGGTGGAGAGCTGGGTAGGACGGGGTGGTGTTGGTGGCAAGAGCATGGCTTTGGAATCCAGCACGGCCCTCTCGTGACCCTGGGCAGTGGACAGGGTGCTGTCTCTTTTTCAGGCACTGGGGCCACTGTGCAGCAGGGTGCATGGTAGGGGATAAGCAGATTTCCTGTCCTGAGGGTGGACAGCCAAGTACTGACACTCTCAACATAATGGGAGTGTGGAGGGCACGGCTGACAGTCAGGGAACTGTGGAAACTGCCAAGGGACAGGGGAGAGAACGGGAGGACACAGACCACGTGACCCACGCCCCTGTGCTCTGCAGCTCCCTTGGAGGGTCTCTGCGGGAGCTGATTCTCAGTCTTCCCCCAAACATCCTGCTCATCCGGGTCTACAGGGACAGGGTCAGCCTAGGTGCTCTCTTCTTGCCTGGAGAGATGGCCCCACTCTGGCCTAGGGATGCGGAGCCAGGTACGGAGATGGGCAAAGAGGCACTCAGCTCACACATCCCCGAATGTCCGCTGGTGGGGATGTTGGAAGCTTCCTAATGTTACCAGATCAGGAAATGGAGGCCCAGAGAGGGGAAGGGTCTGGGAAGGAATGAGGACAAGAGGCTTCACGCTGAGGGTCCCCTGCTTGGCTGGGAAGGTGGGGTTGAGATCTCCATGGACTCACGCACCGAACTGCCAGGGACGCTGCACGTGCCAGCCTTCACGAAACTCTCCCCACGGCCCGTAGCTGCAGCACACGCCTCCTCGCCAGGACGTGAAGCTGCAGAGCTGCCTGCTGCCGAGGCCCAAGAGACCTGAAACAAGTCCAGTCCCGCTCAGGCCCAGGCCGGGGATGCCAGGGGCGGGGCGGGAACAAGCAGGGGCTGTTTCTGGGAAGAGGGCGCGAGCAGAGAGGGCGGGAGGCTGAGGGCGCGAGCAGAGAGGGTGGTGGGTGAGCTTGTGGGGGGCGGGAAGGTGGTGTCACCTATGCTGACGGGTTGGAATCGTAAGTCCCATCGTCCCTGCTGCCAGGAACAAGGGCAGGAGACCTGGTTCCAGCCCCAGCTGGGCCACTGAGGCTGGCTCTTCAGCCACTGCAGGCACTCGAGACGGTAGTTAGGCCTTTCTTCCCGGTGTAGCCTGTAGAACTGCAGCCCTCGGAGGCCTGGGGTCAGGAGATGGGGAGAGAGAAAGGGCTTATCCAGGGCCTAGGTCTGGGGTCCGGGGATGGGGAGGGAAAAAGGGCCCACGTCAGGTGGGCAAGGATTCCTCCCCCAAAGCCCATTACTTGACTTAGCGTCTGTTTCTTTACCAAAAGTGGTTGCCACAGAACAAATAGAACTGGATTTATACTTCACAATTCACATGGCTGGGTTCTAAGGCTAAACTGTCCTTTATCCTATCACATTTTGGAAACTATTGTTTCTTTCCCACTGGGGCCTCTGGACTGAGTCGGAGAAGGCATCATCGTCTGCCTCTTGACACTTGTCTTTCTACCCACATGAAAGCTCTTTGAGAGTAAACATAGTTGATCTTTTTCCGTTTTAAAATGTTTCTGGCTGTTAGCACAGTGTCCAGCACACAGCAGGTGCCCAGTAAATGATGATGATGAATGTCGGCCTCTCCTTCGTAGATTCTCTCTTTCTGAGATGGAGTCTCGCTCTGTCACCCAGGCGGGAGTGCAGTGGAGCGATCTCGGCTCGCTGCAACCTCCACCTCCCGGGTTCAAACGATTCTGCTGCCTCAGCCTCTCGAGTAGCTGGAATTACAGGTGTGCGCTACAATGCCTGGCTAATTTTTGTGTATTTAGTAGAGACAGAGTTTCACCATGTTGCCCAGGCTGGTCTCAAACTCCTGACCTCAGGTGATCCACCCATCTCGGCCTCCCAAAGTGCTGGGATCACAGGCGTGAGCCACCGCACCCCGGCCGGTAGATTTTCTTAAAGGATCTCACCTGGGTTCTCATTCCTGCTCTGGGCAGGACACTTGGAGAATTGTCTGAACTGCCCATTCAAATCCCACCTCCCACAAGACCCTGTCCTCACTTCTGGGATCTGGGCCCCCCTGAGAGCCCTCTTGGGTTGGTTCATCTGAGGGAGAAGATGTAGCCCCCTCTGAGACTGTGCTGTGTCCAGGGGTGCAGGAGGTACCAGCGGCCCCCTGGGCGGTGCCACATCCCACCTAGACCTGTAGGAGGTTGGACTGTGCAGGGGAGGCCCTTCAGGACGGTGGTGACGTTAGGGAGCGGCCCTCTAGGACTGCGGTGGTGTGTGGGCTGGAGGACACACGAGGGCTTGAGGCCAGCTCAGGGGTGATAAGGTGGCACTTCTACCTGAGCTGGAATTCAGGAATCTATCAGGGCGATACTTCTCCCACACTGGCTGGGACATCAGTGGGCTGTTTTCGAAATAGCCGTCTCCACTGCAGGGAACGAGAGACTCTCTCAGGCCTCCGTCATGCACAGGCTCTTGCCTCGCGGTTGCAAGGCGTCCATTCATCCCGCTGGCCGGTCAGCAGCTGGTCAGCCAGCTAGGCGGGCAGTGGGTCAGTGGGTCAGCCAACCCCCATTGTCCAGCCCCAGCACTGAGCAGCAGAGGGGACAAGACGGATGGGCAGAGGTAGGAGGCTCTAACCAATTCCGCTTCTGCAAGAAACTGGCAGGTCCGCTTGGTCACGAGACGGGCGTGAAAACAACAGAGTTCAGGCCTCATTTCTGTTTGTTTCCCTTCAACAGGCAGAGGGTTTGGAGCGGGACAGACTCTAGGGACAGTGTATTGTGATGGTTAAGAGCCAGTTTCTGGAGTTAGGCAGTGACGGATTCAACTGCTGATCCCCACACTTACTAGCTTGGTGACCACGGACAACTTACTGACCCTCTCTGGTTCTTAGTTTTCACATCTGTGTAAAAGGGATTAAAGTAGCACGACCTAGCTGTACGGTGAGGATTCAATGCAGTAACATCTGCGAATCCCTCAGAACTGAGTGAGGCCTCGATACAACAGGTGCTGCCACTGCTGTCACCACCACCAACACCAACGCTACCACCATCACCACCTCCACCGCCACCACCACCACCACCACCACCAACACTACTACCATCACCACCACCACCACCACCAACACTACCAACACTGCCACCATCACCACCTCCACCTCCACCACCACCATCACCACTACCACCACTACCACCATCACCACTTCCACCTCCACCGCCACCACCACCACCAACACTACCACCATCACCACCACCACCACCACCAACACTACCAACACTGCCACCATCACCACCTCCACAACCACCATCACCACTACCACCACTACCACCATCACCACTTCCACCACCACCACCATCACCACCACCACCACCACCGCCTCCACCACCACCAACACTACCACCATCGCCACCACCACCACTACCACCATTGCCACCACCACCACCGCCACCACCACCAGCACTACCACCATCAGCACCACCACCAACACCAATACCACCACCACCACCGCCACCACCACCACCACCACCACTACCACCATTGCCACCACCACCACCACCAGCACTACCACCATCAGCACCACCACCAACACCAATACCACCACCACCACCGCCGCCACCACCACCACCACTACCACCATCGCCACCATCACCACCATTACCACCATCACCACTTCCACCACCACCACCAACACTACCACCATCAGCACTACCACCAACACCAACACTACCACCATCGCCACCACTGCCACCACCACCACTGCCAACACTACCACCAAAATCACCACCATCACCACCACTACCACCATCACCACTTCCACCCCCACCACTATCAGCACCACCATCAACACCAACCCTATCATCACCGCCACCACCACCAACACTACCACCATCGCCACCACGACCACCACTATGGCCATCACCATCTGCAGGTGTGGGGTCCGAGCATGCTCAGGAAGGAGAGAAGCCTGGAGCGGCGGCCTGTAGCCCCATCCTGGGTGCCTGCTGCAGAGTGGGGACTCTTGGGCTTTTCCTCCTCCCTGACACAAGCAGGATGACGCACCCCTGTGTGACACCTTCCTTGGGTGTACTTGGACCATGTGAAATTCCTAGGCAGTTGGGTAATTCCCCTCCTTTCACCTTCACAGCACACCAAGTAACCAGTGAAAGCAGTGTAATCAAAGGGGTAACCTGAGCACATTCAGTGTAGGAGAAGACCATTTGCAGCAATTATCAAGGACAAAAGACATCGCTTCTCGGCCTTTTGGCTAAGATCAAGTGAAGAACAAGACATGTGGCCTTTGCACTGATTGCCACACACCAGCATATGGGACAGAGACGGTGCACTGTTGCATCGGAGACGGCCTCCCACACACGGAAATCCATATTTCAACCGCCCACAGCCCCGTGCCTCCTCTCTCCCTTCACCACCAGCTCCTTATAAGCTTTTGGTGCCCCCTGGAATTCTCAGGAAGTCGGGAAGGCAGATTCTAGCCTCAGATGTCTGGGTTCAAATCACATTGCCACTTCCCAGCTCTGGGACTTTAGGCAAATTGTCAGTCTATTTGTATCTCAGTTTCCTGATCTGTAGAGTGGGGATGATAAATCGTATCCGCCTCATGGGGTGGTTGTGATCATGACATGCAATAATGTACGTGAAGTGTTAGTGTCATCAGTCTTGGCTGTTATTATCATGATATTTGAGAAGGTAAGAGAGGCCAGCTAATGTAGTGGAAATCAGGGAAGCCAAAGCTCTGGGAATTATTACAACGCACAGGGACTGGGATGGGAGAGGGTGTGGTGGACAAATGGGTGTTCTTGTCGTGGGAAGCAGCCAGATGCCCGGCCCCAGGGGGAGCTGGAGTCAGCGTGAGTCAGAAGCACCAACCAGGAGGGTTCACATCTCGCCCAGGGTGGGAGCGTGTGTGCAGTGAAACCCCACTCTGCACCCTCCCTGCCATCTGCTCAGTGCTGACAACCCCTCCCATCCTACCTGGAGAAGCCCATGAGCACGAGGTTGCCTGAGCGCTGGGCCACGTCCCACTGCATCCCACCGCTCTGGTAGAGAAACAGGGCATAGGACCTGCTCCCGTCTGTGGAGAGGATGGCCTGGTAGGTGTTGCTCTGGGGGTGGGTGGAAGAAAACACAGGGATGCCCGTGAGAGATCCGGGGTCTCCTCTCTTATGTCCCCCCGCCCGTCCCACAGCCCTGCCTGGACATGTACAGCACCTGTTCCTGGTCTGCCCACAGCAAAGGCATGGGCCCAAAATGCTGGCAAGTTTTGGGTCAATGAGGGCAGCTTTCACCCTGGGTGTGAACACACTTACCACAGTGGATTTGCCTTTTGGTGACTTTCTTCCAGGAAGGGAGATAAAGGGTTCTGGGTTATAATTCAGTTAGATGAGTGTTTGCAGGAGAAAGCTACCAGAACCTGAGAGATCAGCCAAGATACCAGAGAGCTAGAGAGGAGGCTTTGTTAGCTCCCTCGCGGATATTTAAGGACATTGTCCAAATTGTCCCCTCCACCTGAACAGCATGGATGACACTGGGGTTCACTGAAGGTGCACACGTTGTCCACGGTAGGTGACTAGTGAACTTTTGTCAAGTGAATGAAGAAATGAGTGACTTTAGATCAGACATAAGGAAGAACTTGGTGACTACAAGAGCGGGTCCTCGGAGGGAGGACAGAGGAGATGGTGTGGTGTGCCCCATGCCCGTTGGATGAGCCCATGCTTAATGGCCAGAGGCTGGAGTCAGAAGAAGCTCCACTGCAGGCCTGGCGTTGCCATTTGCAGTGGCATGACTTTGAGCAAGTTACTTAACCTCTCTAACCATTGTCTTCCTCATCTGTAAAATGTGGATCAGAATACCCAGTTGAGCCACATGAAATTCCCAACAGCCAGACATTTTTGACTTACAAAAATGCCACTTGCTATGTTTCAACCTAATAATATCTGGTTTGCTGGGCTGCAGTGAGGTCAAGTAGGCAAAGGGCTGAGGCCGGCCAGGCCCACAGTGAGTGCTCCGCCAGCAGTGGGAGCAGCGGGGGTGGCAGTGGGTGGGCTTGCTATAATTAGCAATCTTTCCTAGAGCCAGAGAGGATTTTGGAAGAGTAGCCCCTGCCTAGGATTCTAGGATGTCTAACCCCCAGATGGCTCCCTGGGAGCTGCCCACGGGTCTACTCACCCCAAGGGTCCACTGGGCAGGATAAGCGTGGGCATTGACCCACGTGACCTTTAGGGTCCACCTGGCCTTGAAGCCGCCATTGTTTGTGATCTTTCTAATCCAAGACTCGGTCTGCAGGACTGGCAGCCTGCGTTCACCATAGAGCGTCTTGTATTCCTAGGAAAGGAGGGCAGATGAGAACAAGCCAACGAGGGTCCCACTCCCGCACATGGACCCCCACTTTCTGCCTGGGGACCCACCCACATGGCCTGCCCTCCCCTGTCCCAGGCCTGCATTTTTGCCGTGAGCTCTTCTGACGTGAAGTTCAATTCAAACTCGGGCTGCAGGAAGGCCTGCAGTGTGCAGAATGCAGAGTCCTGGCCCAGACGTCCAAGACCTCTGGACTTGAACTCAAGCGTCTCTTAGCTCAAACTGGCCCAGAGAGCAAAGCCACTCGGGCCCACTTTTACCTCCCCATGCCTAATCTGCAGCTCCTTGAGAACAGGCATGAGACGCTCCCTCTTGGAGCCTCTACACTGCCGTGTCCATGGCAGGGGCATGGTCCACACTTCGTCCATGGCAGGCACATGGTCCACACTTCCTGCAGTAGCTTTCATCACGTGCTTCCTCTAATTGGAGTTATTCACCCAGTCCAGGAGCACAGGACAGGCCCTCTTGACTCACTCTTGTTAGGATAGACCCCCTACAGCCTGATTTTACAATCAAAGGCTGAATTGTCAGCTCCCATCCCCATCACCTGCAGGTCTTCTCATGGTTGGGTTGGGGTATTCCTGAGTCAGCTTAATATCCCTTGCCAGCTTCCTCCCACACCCATATTTAAGCCTCAGTCCCCTGCTGCAGGGGCTGTCACAGCAGCGACTCTGGCAATGCCTTCCACACAGCTCTTTTTCTCCTCTGCCAGCTGCTGCGGGATCCTGACCGCCAGGCTTTGAAAGGCTCACCTGATAAAATATGGTCCCCTGACCAGTGGAGAAGTCAGCATCGTCCCAGAACGGAGCCACCAGGGCCACAGGGTCCCAGCCTGTGAAGCCTGTTGGGAGTGGGTTGGGATAGGAGAAAATCTGGTAGTCTGACTCTGGGAAGATGATCTGGCCATTGTCTGTGAACTAAGCACACAGGTTTTGTGGTTACCATTCAGGGAGGAAGGTGGGGAGGAAAGTCCCAGCCTTGGTCCAGCTCCACAGAAGCGTGACCCCCGAGGGTAGAGCTTTAGAGGTGCTAACAACCCCGGGAAGTCACCTCCTGTGTCCTGGCTTTGGGAGAGCCCTTTCCGTATAATCTCACAGAATACTCCACCCTTAAGGCATCCCTTGGGTCCTTGGGTGGTCGGCTTGGTCCTGTTTCACTGCAGATCCCCGGCTGTGGACCAGCCAATCACAGACACATCCCTCTTGGCCAGTCCCCTGGGCCCCATCCTGAAGCTTGTGACACATCATGTGGGGCTCAGGAGATGGAAACTCTGCTCTCCATCACTCAGGAGTGTAGACACCCTCTCTCCATCAGTCACAAGTGTAGACAGCCTATCTCCATCCCTCAGTGGCTGGAGCCCTGTCTCCATCACTCAGCGGTGTAGACAACCTCTCTCCATCACTCAGGGGTGTAGACACCCTCGCTCCAACACTCAGGATTTTAGACACCCTCTCCATCACTCAGGTGCGTAGACATCATCTCTCCATCACTAAGGGGTGTAGACACCCTCTCTCCATCACTCAGCAGTGTAGACACCCTCTCTCCATCACTCAGGGGTGTAGACACCCTCTCTCCATCACTCAGGGGTGTAGACACCCTCTCTCCATCACTCGGGGGTGTAGACACCCTCTCTCCATCACTCGGGGCTATAGACACCCTCTCTCCATCACTCGGGGCTGTAGACACCCTCTCTCCATCACTCGGGGGTGTAGACACCCTCTCTCCATTACTCAGGGGTGTAGACACCCTCTCCATCACTCAGGGGTGTAGACACCCTCTCTCCATCACTCAGGGCTGTAGACACCCTCTCTCCATCACTCAGGGCTGTAGACACCCTCTCTCCATCACTCAGGGGTGTAGACACCCTCTCTCCATCACTCAGGGGTGTAGACACCCTCTCTCCATCACTCTGGGGTGTAGACACCCTCTCCATCACTCAGGGGTGTAGACACCCTCTCTCCATTCACTCGGGGGTGTAGACACCCTCTCTCCATCACTCAGGGGCTGTAGACACCCTCTCTCCATCCCTCAGGGGTGTAGACACCCTCTCTCCATCACTCGGGCTGTAGACACCCTCTCTCCATACTCAGGGCTTAGACACCCTCTCTCCATCCTCAGGGGTGTAGACACCCTCCTCCCATCCTCAGGGTGATAGACACCCTCTCTCCATCACTCAGGGGTGTAGACACCCTCTCTCCATTAACTCAGGGGTGTAGACACCCTCTCTCATCAACCTCAGGGGTGTAGACACCCTCTCTCCATAGCTCAGGGGTGTAGACACCCTCTCTCCATCGCTCAGGGGGTGTAGACACCCTCTCTCCATCACTCGGGGCTGTAGACACCCTCTCTCCATTACTCAGGGCTATAGACACCCTCTCTCCATCGCTCAGGGGTGTAGACACCCTCTCCATCGCTCAGGGGTGTAGACACCCTCTCTCCATCACTCGGGCGTAGACCCCCTCTCCATCACTAAACACCCTCCTCCATCCGGGGGTAGACACCTCTCTCCATCGCTCAGGGGTGTAGACCCTCCTCACACCCGGTTAACACCTCTCCATCGCTCGGGGGTGTAGACACCCTCTCTCCATAACTCAGGGGGTGTAGACACCCTCTCTCCATCACTCGGGGCTGTAGACACCCTCTCTCCATCGCTCAGGGGGTGTAGACACCCTCTCTCCATCACTCGGGGCTATAGACACCCTCTCTCCATTACTCAGGGCTGTAGACACCCTCTCTCCATCCCTCGGGGGTGTAGACACCCTCTCTCCATTACTCAGGGCTGTAGACACCCTCTCTCCATCCCTCGGGGGTGTAGACACCCTCTCTCCATTACTCAGGGCTGTAGACACCCTCTCTCCATCCCTCGGGGGTGTAGACACCCTCTCTCCATCCCTCGGGGGTGTAGACACCCTCTCTCCATCGCTCGGGTGGAAATCTCTCTCCACGGCTCAGCAGGTGTAGACACCTCACCACTGCTGAGTCGCCCTCTCATGGTGCGTCCCACAGCCTCCCCCTGAGGGCCGCGGGAGCCAGGACGGCCCCTCCAACTCCGTCCAGGGGACAGGGACCGGGGGGCCAGAGACTAATGCCAGAACGCGGGCACGGCGGGAACAGCTCCGTTTCCCAAGCGCAGCGTTTTGCTCCGGGGAAGGCCGCGCAGAGCAGCGCTGGGCCCAGCAGGCGTCCGCCCTCGCCTGGCGCCCCGTGTTCCTCGGCAGACGCCTGACATTAAGGGGGCTGTGGGGCGCACGAGGGGCCCCGCCGAGGCTGCCTCCACTCCTGCTTCCTCTGGGTTGTCTCGAAGCTGGGGAGAGAAGCGGCCCAGGGAGCCGAGGCCGCCGCCGGGACTCACGTAGAGGGAATCGCGCAGCGAGGAGCCGAGGGGGAAGCCAGTCGCGGGCCTGAAGAGCGGGGAGGTGAAGTCCACGGTCCTCCTGACGAACTCCAGGTCCCCGGCGCCGGCCCCGTAGGGGAGGAGGGAAGCTCCTGGCCAGGACAAAGACGAGCAGGACGTCCGAGGGGGCCTGGGCCTTCTTTAGGGCCGAAAGGGATCCCAGAGCCCTCCCCGCGCGCTGCGCGCACCTGCCCCGTTCCCCGAGGGCCCCAGAGGCAGCCAGCAAGGGCTCTTGTGGCTCCCTCTCCACCCACACCGAACGCATGTGGTCATTTTACTCCCGAACTGCGCCTCTCATCCTTCCCCAGCTCGGAGAAAAACAGGTCCTGCTGGCAGAATCCAGCAAACGATTCGCCATCTCTTAGGTAGTCCCAATCCTTTTCAGAGTTAAATGACAAACGTCCATGCTGGACGCGGTGGCTCTCGCCTGTAATCCCAGAACTTTGGGAGGCCGAGGCAGGTGGATCATGAGGTTAGGAGTTCGAGACCAGCCTGACCAACATGGAGAAACCTCGTCTCTACTAAAAATACAAAAACTAGCCTGGTGTGGCGGCGCATGCCTGTAATCCCAGCTACTCGGGAGGCTGAGGCAGGAGAATCTCTTGAACCCGGGAGGTGGAGGTTTCAGTGAGCCAAGATTGCTCCACTGCACTCCAGCCTGGGCGACAAGAGCAACCCTCCGTTTCAAAAAAAAAAAAAAAATGACAAAAGTCCAGTGCAGTGAAGATTCGTGACTGCAGAATCCTTTTCAGGGAATGAGACTTGCTTCCTAAGATGGCCTTTCTCCGGTTAAACTTGAAGACTCCTCGAATTTAACCTAGGACTCCCTAGAGGTTCTTGGGCTCCGGTTTGAGAAACCTTGTCCCAAATAATTCTCGCAGCTGCCGACTCCTTGGGGCCCTCCCCTGGTCCTGCTTGGAATCCTGTAGGCTCTCCTGGCCTCGTCGCTGCCTGCACATCTGGTCGCTGCAGGCACCACTTGTTAAATGCCATTTGTACAATGCAAAACAGTCCTCCCTGGCTCTCCTTACCTACAGGATTGCATGCTGGCCGCACTTTTTGCTCCTCTTGTTCTCATTTTCAGCCACCCCAAATGATTCGGGGATCCACTCCCCATGCAGCACCGGGTCCACTTTCCACGGCCATACCTTCCACACTTGTTCCAGCTGTTTCCGCCCTCCTCCCTGCCCCTCCTCCCTACCCGGGGTGCTCTCCATCCCCCGGCTCTGCCTTCCTTAGGGCTTTCCATTGTGTGTGCTTAGACCCTGGCATGAGTCCTCTAACCGCCTCTACCAGACAGTCCATCTGTCCCTTGCTGAATGGCACCAGGGTCATTTCTCTGTCTCCAGCCCCTGGCCCAGTGCCATGCACAAAGCCAGCCCTCAGCAGCGACTCCGATGCTGTGTCCCTGTCCTCACTAAGGCCTTGCCGACCCAAAAGAGCAGAGACTGTGGGAAGCAGGCTGAGAGGGAGCCATCAGTTACGTCACCGCCCAAAACGCACAAGTCTCACCTGTACGGCCTCACTCACCTGTCTCAGGCGGGACGGGGACGGGGGCAGGGGCGGGGGCAGCTGTGGAGCGGCTGTGCGTGGCAGTGCTGGGAGTGGCGGAGGTGGAGGCCTGGGAGGTGGTCAGGGGTGGTGAGGGGGCTGTGGCAGAGGTGGCGGTCTGAGAGGTGGTTGGGAGTATGGATGTGGCTGTGGCAGAGGTGGCGGTCTGAAAGGTGGTTGGGGGTGTGGATGTTGCTGTAGCTGTGGCGGTCTGGGAGGTCGTCGGGGGTGTGGATGTGGCTGTGGCGGAGGTGGTGGTCTGGGAGGTCGTTGGGGGTGTGGACGTGGCTGTGGAGGAGGTGGCGGTCTGAGAGGTGGTTGGGGGTGTGGATGTGGATGTGGCGGTCTGAGAGGTTGTTGGGGGTGTGGATGTCACTGCGGTGGAGGTGGCGGTCTGAGAGGTGGTCGGGGGTGTGGATGTGGCTGTGGCGGAGGTGGCGGTCTGGGAGGTGGTTGGGAGTAGGGATGTGTCTGTGGCGGAGGTGGCGGTCTGAGAGGTTGTTGAGGATGTGGATGTGGCTGTGGCAGAAGTGGTGGTCTTAGACATGGTTGGGGGTGTGGATGTGGCTGTGGCTGTGGTGGTCTGGGAGGTTGTTGGGGGTGTGGATGTCGCTGTGGCGGAGGTGGCAGTCTGGGAGGTGGTCGGGGGTGTGGACGTGGCTGTGGCGGAGGTGGCGGTCTGGGAGGTAGTCGGGGGTGTGGATGTGGCTATGGCGGAGGTGGTGGTCTGGGAGGTGGTCGGGGGTGTGGACGTGGCTGTGGCGGAGGTGGCGGTCTGGGAGGTGGTCGGGGGTGTGGATGTGGCTATGGCGGAGGTGGCAGTCTGGGAGGTGGTCGGGGGTGTGGACATGGCTGTGGTGGAGGTGGCGGTCTGAGAGGTGGTTGGGGGTGTGGATGTGGCTGTGGTGGTCTGGGAGGTTGTTGGGGGTGTGGATGTGGCTGTGGCGGAGGTGGTGGTCTGAGAGGTTTTGGGGGGTGTGGATGTGGCTATGGCGGTCTGCGAGGTTGTTGGGGGTGGTGATGGGACTATGGTGGAGATGGTGATCTGAGAGGTGGTTGGGGGTGTGGATGTGGCTGTAGCAGAGGTGGTGGTCTGGGAGGTTGTTGGGGGTGTGGATGTGGCTATGGCAGAGGTGGCGGTCTCGGAGGTCATCAGGGATGTGGATGTGGCTGTGATGGTCTGGGAGGTTGTTGGGGGTGGTGATGTGGCTGTGGATGTGGCTATGGCAGTCTGCGAGGTTGTTGGGGGTGGTGATGGGACTATGGTGGAGATGGTGATCTGAGAGGTGGTTGGGGGTGTGGATGTGGCTGTGGCGGAGGTGGCGGTCTGCGAGGTTGTTGGGGGTGGTGATGGGACTATGGTGGAGATGGTGATCTGCGAGGTGGTTGGGGGTGTGGATGTGGCTGTAGCGGAGGTGGTGGTCTGGGAGGTTGTTGGGGGTGTGGATGTGGCTGTGGCAGAGGTGGTGGTCTGGGAGGTCGTCAGGGATGTGGACATGGCTGTGGTGGAGGTGGCGGTGTGAGAGGTAGTTGGGGGTGTGGATGTGGCTGGGGCTGTGGCGGTCTGAGAGCTTGTTGGGGGGGTGGATGTTGCTGTGGTGGAGGTGGCAGTCTGAGAGGTGGTCGGGGGTTTGGATGTCACTGTGGTGGAGGTGGCAGTCTGGGAGTTCGTCAGGGGTGTGGACGTGGCTGTGGCAGAGGTGGCGGTCTGAGAGGTGTTCGGGAGTGTGGACGTGGCTGTGATGGAGGTGGCGGTCTGGGAGGTCGTCGGGGGTGTGGATGTGGCTGTGGCAGAGGTGGCGGTCTGGAAGGTTGTTGGGGATGTGGACGGGGCAGTGGTGGTCTGGGAGGTGGTTGGGGGTGTGGATGTCGATGTGCCTGTGGCAGAAGTGGTGGTCTTAGAGGTGGTTGGGGATGTGGATGTGGCTGTGGCGGAGGTGTCGATCTGAGAGGTCGTCGGGGGTGTGGACGTGGCTGTGGCGGAGGTGTCGATCTGAGAGGTGGTTGGGGGTGTGGATGTGGCTGTGGTGGAGGTGGCGGTCTGAGAGGTGGTTGGGGGTGTGGATGTGGCTGGGGCTGTGGCGGTCTGAGAGGTTGTTGGGGGTGTGGATGTCGCTGTGGCAGAGGTGGCGGTCTGAGAGGTGGTCAGGGGTGTGGATGTCGCTGCAGTGGAGGTGGTGGTCTGAGAGGTGGTCGGGGGTGTGGACGTGGCTGTGACAGAGGTGGCGGTCTGGGAGGTCATCGGGGGTGTGGACGTGGCTGTGGCGGAGGTGGCAGTCATGGAGGTCATTGGGGGTGTGGACGTGGTTGTGGTGGAGGTGGCAGTCTGGGAGGTGGTTGGGGGTGTGGATGTCAATGTGGCTGTGGCAGAAGTGGCAGTCTTAGAGGTGGTTGTGGATGTGGCTGTGGCTGTGGCGGTCTGAGAGGTTGTTGGGGGTGTGGATGTGGCTGTGTCGGAGGTGTCGATCTGAGAGGTGGTCGGGGGTGTGGATATGGCTGTGGTGGAAGTGGTGGCCTGGGAGGTCGTCGGGGGTGTGGACGTGGCTGTGGTGGAAGTGGCGGTCTGAGAGGTGATTGCGGGTGCGGATGTGGCTGGGGCTGTTGCAGTCTGAGAGGTTGTTGGGGGTGTGGATGTCGCTGTGGCGGAGGTGGCAGTCTGAGAGGTGGTCGGGTGTATGGATGTGGCTGTGGCGGAGGTGGCAGTCTGGGAGGTGGTCGAGGGTGTGGATGTGGCTGTGGCAGAGGTGGCGGTCTGAGAGGTGGTCAGGGGTGTGGACATGGCTGTGGTGGAGGTGGCAGTCTGGGAGGTCGTTGGGGGTGTGGACGTGGCTATGGCGGAGGTGGCGGTCTGTGAGGTGGTTGGGGGTGTGGATGTCGATGTGGCTGTGGCAGCAGTGGCGGTCTTAGAGGTGGTTGGGGATGTGGATGTGGATGTGTCTGTGGTGGTCTGAGAGGTTGTTGGGGGTGTGGATGTCGCTGTGGCGGAGGTGTCAATCTGAGAGGTGGTCGGGGGTGTGGACGTGGCTGTGGCAGAGGTTGCGGTCTGAGAGTTGGTCAGGGGTGTGGACGTGGCTGTGACGGAGGTGGCGGTCTGGGAGGTCGTCAGGGATGTGGACGTGGCTGTGGTGGAGGTGGCGGTCTGGGAGGTCTTTGGGGGTGTGGACGTGGCTGTGGCAGAGGTGGCGGTCTGGAAGGTCATTTGGGGTGTGGATGTCGATGTGGCTGTGGCAGAAGTGGCGGTCTTAGAGGTGGTTGGGGATGTGGATGTGGCTGTGGTTGTGGCGGTCTGAGAGGTTGTTGGGGGTGTGGATGTCGCTGTGGTGGAGGTGTTGATCTGAGAGGTCGTTGGGGGTGTGGATGTGGCTGTGGCAGAGGTGGTGGTCTGGGAAGTCGTCGGGGGTGTGGATGTGGCTGTGGTGGAGGTGGCGGTCTGAGAGGTGGTTGGGGGTGTGGATGTGGCTGGGGCTGTGGCAGTCTGAGAGGTTGTTGGGGATGTGGATGTCGCTGTGGCGGAGGTGGTGATCTGAGAGGTGGTCGGGGGTGTGGATGTGGCTGTGGCGGAGGTGGCGGTCTGAGAGGTGGTCGGGGGTGTGGATGTGGCTGTGACGGAGGTGGCAGTCTGGGAGGTCGTTGGGGGTGTGGACGTGGCTGTGGCGGAGGTGGCGGTCTGGGAGGTCGTTGGGGGTGTGGACATGGCTGTGGTGGAGGTGGCGGTCTGGGAGGTGGTTGGGGGTGTGGATGTCGATGTGGCTGTGGCAGAAGTGGCGGTCTTAGAGGTTGTTGGGGATGTGGATGTGGCTGTGGTTGTGGCGGTCTGAGAGGTTGTTGGGGGTGTGGATGTGGCTGTGGCGGAGGTGGTGGTCTGGGAGGTCATCAGGGATGTGGACATGGCTGTGGTGGAGGTGGCGGTGTGAGAGGTAGTTGGGGGTGTGGATGTGGCTGGGGCTGTGGCGGTCTGAGAGCTTGTTGGGGGGGTGGATGTCGCTGTGGTGGAGGTGGCAGTCTGAGAGGTGGTCGGGGGTTTGGATGTCGCTGTGGTGGAGGTGGCGGTCTGGGAGGTCATCAGGGGTGTGGACGTGGCTGTGGCGGAGGTGGCGGTCTGAGAGGTGTTCGGGAGTGTGGACGTGGCTGTGATGGAGGTGGCGGTCTGGAAGGTTGTTGGGGGTGTGGACGGGGCAGTGGTGGTCTGGGAGGTGGTTGGGGGTGTGGATGTCGATGTGCCTGTGGCAGAAGTGGTGGTCTTAGAGGTGGTTGGGGATGTGGATGTGGCTGTGGCGGAGGTGTCGATCTGAGAGGTCGTCGGGGGTGTGGACGTGGCTGTGGTGGAGGTGGCGGTCTGAGAGGTGATTGCGGGTGCGGATGTGGCTGGGGCTGTTGCAGTCTGAGAGGTTGTTGGGGGTGTGGATGTCGCTGTGGCGGAGGTGGCAGTCTGGGAGGTGGTCGAGGGTGTGGATGTGGCTGTGGCGGAGGTGGCAGTCTGGGAGGTGGTCGAGGGTGTGGATGTGGCTGTGGCAGAGGTGGCGGTCTGAGAGGTGGTCGGGGGTGTGGACGTGGCTGTGGTGGAGGTGGCAGTCTGGGAGGTCGTTGGGGGTGTGGACGTGGCTGTGGCGGAGGTGGCGGTCTGTGAGGTGGTTGGGGGTGTGGATGTCGATGTGGCTGTGGCAGCAGTGGCGGTCTTAGAGGTGGTTGGGGATGTGGATGTGGATGTGTCTGTGGTGGTCTGAGAGGTTGTTGGGGGTGTGGATGTCGCTGTGGCGGAGGTGTCAATCTGAGAGGTGGTCAGGGGTGTGGACGTGGCTGTGACGGAGGTGGTGGTCTGGGAGATCGTCAGGGGTGTGGACGTGGCTGTGGTGGAGGTGGTGGTCTGAGAGGTGGTCGGGGGTGTAGACGTGGCTGTGACGGAGGTGGCGGTCTGGGAGGTGGTCGGGGCTGTGGACGTGGCTGTGCCGGAGGTGGCGGTCTGGGAGGTCATTGGGGGTGTGGACGTGGCTGTGGCAGAGGTGGCGGTCTGGAAGGTCATTTGGGGTGTGGATGTCGATGTGGCTGTGGCAGAAGTGGCGGTCTTAGAGGTGGTTGGGGATGTGGATGTGGCTGTGGTTGTGGCGGTCTGAGAGGTTGTTGGGGGTGTGGATGTCGCTGTGGTGGAGGTGTTGATCTGAGAGGTCGTTGGGGGTGTGGATGTGGCTGTGGCGGAGGTGGTGGTCTGGGAAGTCGTCGGGGGTGTGGATGTGGCTGTGGTGGAGGTGGCGGTCTTAGAGGTGGTTGGGGGTGTCGATGTGGCTGGGGCTGTGGCAGTCTGAAAGGTTGTTGGGGATGTGGATGTCGCTGTGGCGGAGGTGGTGGTCTGGGAGGTGGTCAGGGGTGTGGATGTGGCTGTGGCAGAGGTGGCAGTCTGAGAGGTGGTCAAGGGTGTGGATGTCGCTGTGATGGAGGTGGCGGTCTGGGAGGTCGTTGGGGGTGTGGACGTGACTGTGGCAGAGGTGGCAGTCTGGGAGGTCGTTGGGGGTGTGGACGTGGCTGTGGCGGAGGTGGTGGTCTGGGAGGTGGTTGGGGGTGTGGAGGTCGATGTGGCTGTGGCAGAAGTGGCGGTGTTAGAGGTAGTTGGGGATGTGGCTGTGGCTGTGGCAGTCTGGGAGGCGGTTGGGGGTGTGGATGTCGATGTGGCTGTGGCAGAAGTGGCGGTCTTGGAGGTGGTTGGGGATGTGGATGTGGCTGTGGCGGAGATGGCGGTCTGGGAGGTCATCGGGGGTGTGGACGTGGCTGTGGTGGAGGTGGCGGTCTGAGAGGTGGTTGGGGGTGTGGATGTGGCTGGGGCTGTGGCGGTCTGAGAGGTTGTTGGGGGTGTGGATGTCGCTGTGGTGGAGGTGGCAGTCTGAGAGGTGGTCGGGGGTGTGGATGTTGCTGTGGCGGAGGTGGTGGTCTGAGAGGTGGTTGGGGGTGTGGATGTGGCTGTGGCAGAGGTGGCGGTCTGGGGAGTGGTCGGGGGTGTGGATGTGGCTGTGGCGGAGGTGGCGGGGGTGTGGATGTGGCTGTGGCGGAGGTGGCGGTCTGGGGGGTGGTCGGGGGTGTGGATGTGGCTGTGGCGGAGGTGGCGGTCTGGGGGGTGGTCGGGGGTGTGGATGTGGCTGTGGCGGAGGTGGCGGTCTGGGGGGTGGTCGGGGGTGTGGATGTGGCTGTGGCGGAGGTGGCCGGGGGTGTGGATGTGGCTGTGGTGGAGGTGGCAGTCTGGGAGATCGTCGGGGGTGTGGACGTGGCTCTAGCGGAGATGGCGGTCTGAGAGGTGGTTGGGGATGTGGATGTCAATGTGGCTGTGGCAGAAGTGGCGGTCTTAGAGGTGGTTGGGGATGTGGATGTGGCTGTGGCTGTGGCGGTCTGAGAGATTGTCGGGGGTGTGGATGTGGCTGTGGTGGAGGTGGCGGTCTGAGAGGTGGTCAGGGTTGTGGACGTGGCTGTGGCGGAGGTGGCGGTCTGGGAGGTCGTTGGGGGTGTGGATGTGGCTGTGGCGGAGGTGGCGGTCTGAGGGGTGGTTGGGGGTGTGGATGTGGCTGAGGTGGAGGTGGCAGTCTGGGAGATCATCGGGGGTGTGGACGTGGCTCTAGCGGAGATGGCAGTCTGAGAGGTGGTTGGGGATGTGGATATGGCTGTGGCTGTGGCGGTCTGAGAGGTTGTCGGGGGTGTGGATGTGGCTGTGGTGGAGCTGGCGGTCTGGGAGGTGGTCGGGGGTGTGGATGTGGCTGTGGCTGTGGTGGTCTGAGAGGTGGTTGGGGGTGTGGATGTGGCTGTGGTGGTCTGGGAGGTTGTTGGGGGTGTGGATGTGGCTGTGGCGGAGGTGGTGGTCTGAGAGGTTTTGGGGGGTGTGGATGTGGCTATGGCGGTCTGCGAGGTTGTTGGGGGTGGTGATGGGACTATGGTGGAGATGGTGATCTGAGAGGTGGTTGGGGGTGTGGATGTGGCTGTAGCGGAGGTGGTGGTCTGGGAGGTTGTTGGGGGTGTGGATGTGGCTGTGGCAGAGGTGGCAGTCTCGGAGGTCATCAGGGATGTGGATGTGGCTGTGATGGTCTGGGAGGTTGTTGGGGGTGTGGATGTGGCTGTGGCAGAGGTGGCGGTCTCAGAGGTCATCAGGGATGTGGATGTGGCTGTGATGGTCTGGGAGGTTGTTGGGGGTGGTGATGTGGCTGTGGATGTGGCTATGGCGGTCTGCGAGGTTGTTGGGGGTGGTGATGGGACTATGGTGGAGATGGTGATCTGCGAGGTGGTTGGGGGTGTGGACGTGGCTGTGGTGGAGGTGGCGGTCTGCGAGGTTGTTGGGGGTGGTGATGGGACTATGGTGGAGATGGTGATCTGAGAGGTGGTTGGGGGTGTGGATGTGGCTGTGGCAGAGGTGGTGGTCTGAGAGGTTTTGGGGGGTGTGGATGTGGCTATGGCGGTCTGCAAGGTTGTTGGGGGTGGTGATGGGACTATGGTGGAGATGGTGATCTGCGAGGTGGTTGGGGGTGTGGATGTGGCTGTGACGGAGGTGGTGGTCTCGGAGGTCATCAGGGATGTGGATGTGGCTGTGGCAGAGGTGGCGGTCTCGGAGGTCATCAGGGATGTGGATGTGGCTGTGGTGGTCTTGGAGGTTGTTGGGGGTAGTGATGTGACTCGGTGACTCTCGCTGCTTGTCTTCACTGAGGTTGTCATCATTCCTGGACACATGAAAAGAGAAGGCAGGGGTGGTTCTTACAGTAAGAGAACAGCAGAGTCAAAGAGATTCAAAGAAATCAGGAGCTGGAAGAGAGAGTTGGAAACTCCTTGTCTGTCCACTGGTCATATCCAAACCACTCTCGACATCAGCGGTTTTCGACTGGGGCAGAGAGTGGGGTGAGCCTGTCACCCACCACACCCATCACCTCCTCCTCTGTGGGACCTGACTCAGTCCCACCGGATAACACCCATCACCTCCTCCTCTGTGGGACCTGACTCAGTCCCACCGGATAACACCCATCACCTCCTCCTCTGTGGGACCTGACTCAGTCCCACCGGATAATGTGAATGCGCCAGTGTTCTCAAGTACTCCTTAGGCTGAATTCAGCCAAGGGGGCCACTGGGAGAGATGAAGACAAGGCAGATGGCAGCTACCTGATGTTTCCGTCTTCAGAGTGGAGCCCGAGGATACTGTGGATGCTGGGAAAGCACTGGTGACAGGAAGAGTGGTAGCGTGACCTGTGAATAGGGTGGTGGAGAAAGAAAGCCCAATAACAAAGCTATTTCTTATGTTGATGCTAAAATTATTTTCCATACAGTTATTATGATGCAACAATAAACTCAATTTCAAGAGATTTGTGGTATTTGGTGATTGATTGAAAACCTTTTTCCATGTATCAGGAGGTGTTGTCCCCTTAGGGAACATGAACATCAAGGCTAGGGCACTGCTCCTTCTTTGAACAGAGCTGTTTCTGCAAGGTGACAGTAGCCAGATTTAAAACTCTTAATCAGAAGAAGGAGATTTTTGGTAATTAGCCAAGTTCAAAACACCCAGAGCAGAAATAAGGTTAATATTCTGCAGAGGTACCAGCTGTCTGGTTGAGGGCTCTGCTGTACACCTTCAGGGCCTCAAAAGTAAATTGTCAATGACATAAATTAGTTGTTTTTAAAATACTGTAATGTGGATGTCCTTTTCAAATGAAAAGGTGTCATCAATCTGTTTTCAAGAAATCTAGAAACAAAACTGAAATTTCATGTATCTGATGTGATTTGAAGTGGCCAGTCTTTCTTGCTCAAGTTGCCAAATACTCCTCTCCTTAAAACAGCCCTGAGAGGTACAAAAAAATGAAGGCAGTTTCCCTGCCGTGGAGACTAAATGGCACCTGTAGGGAAGGAAACATTCAGACTCACAGCACAGCCTGCATCAGGGTGGCCAGTTAACACTGCTACCAAATGAGCCCCAGGGTCAGGTCTGGTCAATAAAACCTGCTCCAGGTCAGTGGTTTAGAGACTTGCCTGGAGGAAAGCTTAACGAAAAAAATATCCGGTAGAAAATAAGACAGTCTCTGTGAACCAGCAGATTTAGTCTTTTCTGCTGCTGGCTCTGAGGAATCTGGGCAGCCCAGATGAGTGGGTTTCCCCCCACCAAACCATACCCCCTCCACCAAGGCACAGCCAAAGTGTATCATTAAATGGGTCCTGCTTCCCGTGCTGCCCAACTGGGTGAGAGCCCCCAACAGGAATTGTCAGACACCCTCTACAGGAGTGTCCCTATTGGCATCAGTTAGGTGCCCCTCAAGGTCAGAGATCCCAGAAGGAGCAGGCACCCATCTTTGCTGTTCTCCAGCCTCCTCAAGTGACACCTTCAGGTGCAGGAGAGCGAACCAGATGAAGAGGGCCTGAAGTGAACCCCCAGCAAATCGCAGCAGCCCTACCGAAAAGGGATCTGGCTACTGAAAGAAAAACAAACAGAAAGCAATGACAACAGCATCAACAAAAAAGTTCCCACAAACATCATCCAAGGGTCAGCAGCCTCAAAGATCGAAATGAGACAAACTCATGAAGATGAGAAATAATCAACAAGAAAACACTGAGAACCTGAAAGGCCAGAGTGCCTCTTCTCCTCCAAATGACCGCAGCACCTCTCCAGCAAAGGAGCAGAACTGGACGGAGGATGAGATGGACGAATTGACAGAAGTAGGCTTCAGAAGGTGGGTAATAACAAACTTCGCTGAGGCAAAGGAGCACGTTCTAACCCAATGCAAAGAAGCTAAGAACCTTGATAAAAGGTTACAGGAGCTGCTAACTAGAATAACTAGGATTTATAGAGGAACATACATGACCTAATGGAACTGAAAAACACAGCATGAGAACTTCCTTAAGCATACACAAGTATCAATAGCCGAATCGATCAAGTGGAAGAAAGAATATCAGGGATGGAATACTATCTTGCTGAAATAAGGCAGGCAGACAAGATTAGAGAAAAAAGAAGGAAAAGGAATGAACAAAACCTCTGAGAAATATGGGGCTATGTAAAAAGACCAAACCTGTGACTGATTGGCGTACCTGAAAGTGACAGGGAGAATGGAAACAAGTTGGATAACACACTTCAGGATATTATCCAGGAGAACTTTCCCAACCTAGCAAGACAGGCCAACATCCAAATTCAGGAAATACAGAGAACCCCAGTAAGATACTCCACGAGAAGATCAACCCAAGACACATAATCATCAGATTCTCCAAGGTCAAAACAAAGGAAAAAATGTTAAGGGCAGCCAGAGAGAAAGGCCAGGTCACCTACAAAGGGAAGCCCATAAAACTAACAGCAGATCTCTCAGAAGAAACCCTACAAGCCAGAAGAGAGTGGGGTCCAATATGCAACATTCTTAAAGTAAAGAATTTTCAACCCAGAATTTCATATCTGGCTAAACTAAGCTTCATAAGCAAAGGGAAGTAAAGTCCTTTTCAGACAAGCAAATGCTGAGAGAATTTGTCACCACCAGGCCTGCCTTGCAAGCGCTCCTGAAGGAAGCACTAAATATGGAAAGGAAAAACCAGTACCAGTCACTGCAAAACACATGAAAATATAAAGACCCACAACACTAAGAAGAAATGGCATCAACTAGTGTGCAAAATAACCAGCTACCATCATGATGACAGGATAAAATTCACACACAACAATATTAACCTTAAATATAAATGGGCTAAAAGATCTAATTAAAAGACACAAACTGGCAAATTGAATAAAGATCAAGACCCATTGCTGTGCTGTATTCAAGAGACCCATCTCATGTGCAAAGACACATATAGGCTCAAAATAAAGGGATGGAGGAAAATTTACCAAGCAAATGGAAAGCAGTAAAAAGCAGGATTTGCAAGTCCGGTCTCTGACAAACAGACTTTAAACCAACAAAAGTCAAAAAAGACAGAGAAAGGCATTACATAATGGTAAAGGGATCAATTCAATGAGAAGAGCTAACTATCCTAAATATATATGCACCCAATACAGGAGCACCCAGATTCATAAAACAAATTCTTAGAGATCTACAAAGATACTTAGATTCCCACACAATAATAGTGGGAGACTTTAACACCCCACTGCCAATATTAGACAGATCAACAAGACAGAAAATTAACAAGGATATTCAGGACTTGAACTCAGTTCTGGATCAAGTGGACCTAATATCTACAGAACCCTCCACTCCAGAATAGCAGAATATACATTCTTCTCAGTGCCACATGGGACTTACTCTGAAATCAACCACATAATTGGAAGTAAAACACTCCTCAGCAAATGCAAAAGAACTGAAATCATAACAGTCTCTCAGACCACAGTGCAATCAAATTAGAACTCAGAATTAAGAAACTCACTCAAAACCACACAACTACAAGGAAATTGAACAACCTGCTCCTGAGTGACTCCTAGGTAAATAACGAAATTAAGGCAGAAATCAAGAAGTTTTCTGAAACGCAATGCAAACAAAGAGACAACATACCAGAATCTCTGGGACACGGCTAAAGCTGTGCTAAGAGGGAAATTTATAGCACTAAATGCCCACGTCAGAAAGCTGGAAAGATCTCAAGTCGACACCCTAACCTCACAATTAAAAGAACTAGAGAAGAGCAAACGAATCCAAGAGTTAGCAGAAGACAAGAAATAACAAAGATCAGAGTGGAACTGAAGGAGATAGAGACATGGAAAGCCCTTCAAAAAATCAATGAATCCAGGGGCTGGTTTTTTGAAAAATTAATAAAATAGATAGATCGCTAGCTAGACTAATAAAGAAGAAAAGAGAGAAGAATCAAATAGACACAATAAAAAATGATAAAGGGGATATCAAACTACCCTCAGAAAATACAAACTACCATCAGAGAATACTATAAACACCTGTAAGCAAATAAACTAGAAAAATCTAGATGAAATTGACAAATTCCTGGACACATACACCCGCCCAAGACTAAGCCAGGAAGAAGTTGAATCCCTGAATAGACCAATAACAAGTTTCGAAATTGAGGCAGTAATAAATAGGCTACCAGCCAAAAAAAAAACCCCAGGACCAAACAGATTCACAGCCGAATTCTACCAGAGGTACAAAAAGGAGCTGGTACCATTCCTTCAGAAACTATTCCAAACAACTGAAAAGGAGGGACTCCTCCCTAACTCATTTTATGAGGCCAGCACCATCCTGATACCAAAAACAGGGGAGACACAACAACAAAAAGAAAACTTCAGGCCAATATCCCTGATGAACATTGGTGCAAAAATTCTCAATAAAATACTGGCAAACTGAATCCAGCAGCACATCAAAAAGCTTATCCACAATCAAGTTGGCTTCATCCCTGGATGCAAGCCTGACTCAACATATGCAAATTAATAAATGTAATCCATCACATAAATAGAACCAATGAAAAAAAACACACTATTATCTCAATAGATGCAGAAAAGGCCTTTGATAAAATTCAACATCCCTTCATGTTAAAAACTCTCAATAAACTAGGTATTGATGGAACATATCTCAAAATAATAAGAGCTATTTATGACAAACCCACAGCCAATATCATACTGAATGGGCAAAAGCTACATTCCCTTTGAAAACCAGCACAAGACAAGTATGCCCTCTCTCACCACTCCTTTTGAACATAGTATTGGAAGTTCTGGCCAGGGCAATCAGGCAAGATAAAGAAATAAAGGGTACTAAATAAGAAGAGAGGAAGTCAAATT